TCTCTTTCTCCCTCTCTCTCTCTCCCTCTCTCTCTCTCTCTCTCTCTCTCTCTCTCTCTCTCGTGGTTTTTCTATTTCATTTTTAGTTGCTTTCGCAATTCCTCAATTTCACATTTGTTTGTCTTTTCATACCTAGTTCGCCTAGCAAATGCTCTCTGCTAGTTTGCCCAACATTATTACAGACCCAGCTTCCCTAGTTGGGCCAAGGATTTGTGCTAGCCTGCCTTTCCCATTTCGGTTTCCCCTCCTCTTCTCTTACTAAATCAATTTTTGGAGTTGACCGAATTTCACACCCAATTTTTCGGTTGTGTTTTGATATCTGCGATTGCGATTTGATCACCAAGTTCTCTCCAAAACCTCGGCTAGCTTGCCGTTGGCGAACCTCTGATATAGGCAACTGATCAGATCCCGGGAATTTTCTATGGGTCTGTTTTTATATTTAGAACCGATGGGAGAGGTCGCCCGTTTTGTCCGTGTGCGTGTGAGTGTCACTGGGTGTATGTGTGTGTATGCGGAGAGGGTTTCCAAGCCCCAGCTATTGCCCCGATAACCTTTTTTCCATCGCTCTACGCCGGCAGCCAGGCCCGGCCCCTGCCTTACTGGCTCCCATATTTGTCGACACTAAAAAGCGATAGGGTTAAAGGGACGCTGAAGTTGAAGGGTTTTTGAATATCCATGCCCCGAAGACCTCCGATCATGGCTGGGCTCCAAGCTCGAAAAGCCTTTTTATTTATTTTTATTTATTGAGCTTTAGAGCCTTCCATACAACGTTCCTTTAAATTTTATTTTAGGTTATTGCATAGTTCGGTGTACTTTAGAACTTTAGTTTTTTTGCAGGTTTTGGTGGTTTTGCCAAGAGAATATAATCGGAATTTTTCTTTTTTGTATTACGTCTAAGTTTACCCATTCATTTACCAACTGGCAATCTGCACTTCCTTTTTCGGCGTCTACTAGGAAATTCCTAGCTAGTCGCTTTAAGATTTCGCGCTTGTTTTAGACGCTAAATTTTCCAAATGCATAAGCCTCCTAGTTTCCATACTGCATCACTTTTTATGGTTTGTGCGATGATTACTTTCTAGGCGACGGGTTCCTTTTAACACTTTGGAACACCTAAAATCCGTTGGTCTACGATTCTGGCCACACTTTGGCAGTTGTTTTATAGTTTTTACGGCTGTTCTCGTCTAGGGTGCACATTTACTGTCCTTTATTGTACTCAATGCGTAAGATTTTAGTTTCTAGGCTTCGTCGGCTGCTTTGTAGTGCGCTGCACGCTCCCATGACTGTTTTGTCGAATTCGTTAAACTGCGGAAAATCGAGCCACGCTCAATTCCTCAAATTCATCACCTCTACACCCCGTTTTCCATCAGCTGGGCCCATCAGGGGAGCGGAGCGGGCGGCAATCAGCCGGCGCCAGCGCTGCGATAACTTTTCTACCGCACTCACCCCAATTTTCGGCCCTGCTAGCCCCTCAAAATTCCCCTCCTAAAACCTCCAGATTTATGTGGCAAGCCCTGGGTTGAGAAGACATTCGCGGGGGAATCGTGTGTCCGCGCCTTCAGCCTTCCACCCCTTTCTCTTCGCTATATTTTGCCATTATTTTCCGGGCGGCGGCCCGGAGGACGGGGCGACGAGGCTCGCGGCGTCCACAAAACAGCAGCAGCAGGCAGGCAGTGCCCCGGCCACACAACCCCAACCCCAACCCTTGCCCGTCCGACGATGCCTCCTCCTCCTCCTCCGCCTCCTCCGCTGCTGCCCCTCACCTAGCTCGTCCACAAACGGCTCAGCTGCCCCACCCACACCCTCTGACACACATCGATTTATTCCAAAAGTGGGAAATTGGGGATTGAGCATGAATTTGGAGGATTGAGGATGAACTAGGGGAAATGGCTAGAGGGGCAAGGGAAAAGCAGGTCGCTTCAAAAAATTACCCTAAGAAACCCCCCGATTTCTCGTTGATTTTTCTGCACTTGGATAGCATCATCAGCCGATCCGAACAGAAAGCGGTACCTACCGGTGCTAGATAATCCCGCTTTTCCTTGCGAAATTGCCGTGGGCGGCCTTTGGCGATGCTGTAGTTGAAATTAATCGTGATTTTTGGTGAAACCTGGTGATTTTTGACAAGGCCAAATTTAAACTGGTCGTTCTGAGCCGCTTGATGTAAATTAAACTGAAATTCTACCAGGTTGTTTGAGGAGCGGCGCGAAATTCCTGATTTTTTTTGCCGTATCATGTGTGAGGAGCGACACATGGCTGCGCAGAAGACTGCTTTTTTTTGGTTCTAGCCTTTTATAGAATGACACAACTGGCTCGCAGTGCGAAAAAACCGTTTGAAATAAAGTAGCAGAAAACTGTTTGCGAGAGATTTTAAAAGCTGTTAGTTGATTTTGAATATTATCAGGTATTTTTTTACCCACGAACCGTTCCAAACACCGCGGTTCCCCTGACGTCTTGAAAATATTACCCATTTTTCCGGAACCGGCCACCTCACCTTACTCACGGAAACATCAAAAATGTGTGTGGGAGGGCGTCCCCGGGCGGATTAGAAGACTTTTCGCCCCTCTTTTCCCGGGCCACACGAATCTTGTTGACCGACGGTTTCTATGGATTTTTGAATATTTACGGGTTCTTTGGCTTGTTGATTTTTCTGGTCGGTCGTCTCGGGTTTTTGTTTCCTAGATTTTGTTTTGAGAATTTACAGCGTCCTGGGGCGCCGCGAAAATATTCAGTTCTTTCTCGTCAGTCGACGGTGATTCATTCAAAAGGCGTATCTCGATTTTAAATCTTACGAAAATTTGTTGACAAAATAGCCACGCCCCACTTTTTCTTCGCGTTTGAAAATCGGCATACAGCTACTGCCGTACAAGCACTCCCCCCTCCATATTTATAACCATAGTCCGAAAGCTATTTTATTGCATTTTGATGCCTAAAAATGCCCTAGCCCCACCTCGGCGACAATCGATGGATTGATTTGTTGGGCGGTTTTCCTAGGCCGTCCGGCGAGCACGGAGGGGGGCTGACCGGCCTTTTTTGCTTACCGTTTCCTCCGCCACTTCTTAGTGTTTATATTTTGTGGCCTGGCGACAGTATCCCTAGAGTGTACAGCCAGACTGTAATGACTAGTAGTCACCCGGAGAGGGTAGAAAAAGGTAAAAAACGGCTTTTTGAGTCGGAAATTCTAGTCTTTTCCATCATCCACATTATCCTTAGCATTGTGTTTTCCATTTTGCAACTTTTCTACCGTACCCCCCGAATTTTCTAGCAGCCCCCAGCTCCGCAGCAGCTTCCCCGCGATGCTGCCGGGCACGTCACGCGCCCATGATGGGTGAGCGCGGGGGTTATCGTGGGGGAAAATGGGCGCTCCGGGGCGAGAGACCGGTAGATAACAGCTGTAGTAGTACATAGTATCATGGCGTTACGAAAGTGAGGAGAAGTAATTTAGGGTTGGAATTTCCGGCTTGAACTTTTTGTTGACGGGGTAAAATGACACTAAATGAATATAAATTTATCATGCTTTTCCAGGGGCCCTCCGGCGAACGCGATCAACGTGGGCAACATGGTCGAGCCGACCGTTGGTGTGGCTCTTGGAGCCCTTGGTACTGGCGTTCCGGTCACGGTGGATCCCGTGAGTTTCGCTGATTTGCTGAAATTATCGGTTGAAAGAGCACTTTCAAGGAATTGGACTTGTACACCTAATTACGCAAAACGATTGTGCAAAGAAAGACGTAGATGTAGATGTTCATAGGTGTATACATAGAAAACTCTCTGAACTTGTGCTCTAAGCACCTCATTGTCGTAAAATTATCAAAATTATTACCGTTTTTACGTTAATATAACCCCAGTGGTTCTATTTTCTCAATCACCTCCGGGGAGGGGGTTGTATTAGAGGGAGGGCAATGTTTTTCGAGATTTCAGCAATTACAACGATTTATAGCAGTTCAAACTGCTCACAATCACTCAGGAACAAAGTAAGAAGATTAAATAGAAACGTTTTGGCATTTTTTAATTCCTAAAGCCAACTACGAAAACAAAATTTGGGGGTTTATAAGAGGAAAGACGGTATATTATGAACCCCTTCCAGATCATGCAACAGCAAATTCAACAAGACCAAATGGGCCTTGACGCGCAGCAGCGGCAGCAGCGCAACGCCGCCGTCGCCTCACTGCAGGAGCAGCAACTTCGCCAGCTCCAACAGAATCTCGTCTTCGGCCAGACGCCGATCGTCTCCTTCCAGCCCTTCAATCAGCCCGCGCCCTATCCGACGATTTTTGCGCCGTAAGTAATCGACGAGATTTTTCAGCCTTTATTTTAGAACATTTCCCGGCGCCAACCCCTTCCAGCAGCCGTTCTACTCGGCGGCCGGACTTCAGCAACTGGCCCAGGTCAGTGATATTATTTTTTCTACTCTACAAATCGTTTTGGGATTTTGATGCTAGTTTTTTAGATTCTGAAATAAACTTTTAATTTACCTAATTTCTAATATAACTCCCCACAAAATTTTTCGAAGTTGCTTTTAAGAAGTAAAGAAAAACACCAAAAACTGTTTAAGCTTCATACTGTATTCCGGAGTGATTGTGAGCAGTTTGAACTGCTCGAAGTCGTTGTAATGGCCAAAATCACGAAAAATACATCCCTCCCATTAACACAACGCCTTCCCCTGAAGCGATTGAAAAAAAATATAACCCCGGAGTTGAGGAAACACAGTATATTAGTTTTTACCTTATTTATTTTATTTTATACCTTATACCGTTACAGGAATTCGACTGGCGCATGCAAGCGCACGCTTCGACGTCGGCCGCAGCCGCCATGCTCGCTACGCCAATGTACCAGCCACAACAACTGACGTTTGTCCAGCAAATGCGTAAGTTTTTTCCTAAAATCCCATTCCTCCGGTCTTCCGTCTCCCGATAGCTGACTTCACCTTTTCAGCAGGCCCCAGCACCTCGGCAGCCACCATGCAAATGCCGCCACCAGCGCAGCCACAGCTTGTTCAACAGGCCCAGATGATCCAGCCGGCCATCCAGCAACAGCATCCGGCGCACCCCGGCGGGCACCACGTCTTCCAGCTGCCCTACGCGTCGACGTCGCGTACACAGAGGTACTGTAGCGGAGCGCGTTTTCAGAAATTTCGTTGGCTTTTGTACCTAAGAATAATTTTTCGTCCTTTTTTAATGAAAAACTGGTTGTTCAGACAATTCTCTCATAGCTACTTGTGTTCCGAAAAGCCTAAAGAATCATTTTTGAGTAGGGCCTAAAGAACCAATTATCGGGGAGACCGAAAAATCTGAACGCCTGGCAAATAAAAAATTTTGTTAGCAAAAAAACGGATTTTTAAAAATTGTTTGCTTTTACATGTTATTGTATTTTTCGACTAATTTTTTCTAAAGTCGACTTTTCCAGGCTCGACCTGCACTCCCGGATCAGCCAGGCCGTCCGCAGCACCCTGCAGCACGTGCGCGTCTTGGAGAATACACGAAGTCGGTATTTTTGGGGATTTTTGAAGTTTTTGTTGGGTTAAAAAGGATCTGGATTGGCTCGTTTATATGGGATTGTTGTGTTATTTACGACTTAAATGTATTTATTAGCTTTTTGGGGCTTCTTTCGTTACGTATGCTACGCTACGCGTAGTACACGAGGACGGTTTTTTGGTAGTTGAATCGAGTGTAAAACTCATATTTTTTTGGTGTGGGTATCCCCAACTCTAACATTAAGGACAAACTCACGTGGGGCTCAAAATAGCGCGCGACGCGGTATCGGTAGCAATCCCCCTCCCCGCGTCTATTTATTGCTCCAGTTATACGGCCTGATACCTGCGGGGTCTAATCGGATGCGCCCGCCTAGGGGCAAAATGCGAGCGCTGATTTTATGGCCTGGGGGCGATAAATGGTGGAATCGGGGGGGACAGGTTGTGCTCGTTTATTACTCCGAATGGGCTTAGTATCTTATCGTACGGCGATAGGGTGATGATCAGCTGATTCTCTGCCTCTCGCTCTCTTTCTCTGACTCTCTCTTCAATGGCGTGGGGCACTTTAGGAGGGTTGTAAGGTATTGTATTGCGGAATGTAGGTAGCATCAATCCACTGGGCTTGGGACATTCTTTAAGTAACGGAGAGGGCATAAGAACATACTTTTCGCTATTTATTTTACCGTGCTGTCGACACCCATGCGGATGTGACAAAATCTATTGGGATTAATCGTTTAAAACCCATAGCCATCCCTTACCCAGCCCTTTAAATGCTAAAGCAAAAGCTTTTTTCATTTTTCAAGGCTTACCCTCGACTTTCGATATTGGGCTGCAATTTTCAAAAGTACCCCCGCCTGCCCTGGTCAAGGTGTGTGCCGTAGTGTCGTGAAATTGGGGACCAGCCGGACTCGGGGTGGCCCCCGATTGGAAGCCCTCATCTGCCGAGGCCACCACCACCACCACCCGGGCTATGTTTATATTCTCAACAACGGCCACTGGGGGGAGTGTGACGACTTGGATGGGGATGGGGATGGGCCCACGGGGTGAGACCACGATGGTCTGTACGTCTGTCTCTCTGTTCGTATATTTATCTGTCTGTCTGTCTGCCCGCGACACTGTATGTAGCGCCGCATGTATTTGCCTAGCATAATGAGGGCCGAGGCGGTGGTTTACTGGGGTGCTGACACCCTACGCTACGTGCACCCGGAACCAATCATCACACACACGATTGTGAAGCGCTGATTGTCAGCGACGTCAAAATTCGGTGTAGGAACGTGCGATTCGTACTTTTTTAAAGGGACAGGCAAGACATGGTTTATGGATTTTATCCATTGTTTTTTGCACGCGGGCACAACGCGCCCACTTTTTCACATTTGGTAATACATTAGGTCAAACGACGTTCGACGAGCGCTGAAATTCCGCAGTCGTTCATATGCATGCCTTGTCTGTCTCTTTAAAATTGACGAACAGTGATTTTTGCTCTGATTAAATAGATTTTCGGCGATTCCAAAAAAACCCCCGGAAATTCGATTTCAAAATTGTTGCCATAATCGAATGCGTGTCCCTCCTGCATTTCTTGTGTGCCCAATTTCACAACCCCCCCTAGTTCCATTTTAACCTATCCCCCAGAGCGGCCCGTCCTTGCGCCATACACCACCCCTTCCCCCAGTCGGAGCTCCACGAAAATTGATTGATTTGTTGGTCAGATTGTCCGTGGCAAGAGAGCGATAGAGAGACAAAGAGAGAGAGAGAGAGAGAGAGAGAGAGAAAGAGAGAAAGATGGAGCGAGAGAAAGGGACCGCTATGAAGATTTGCAAGATTAAAATAGCTCCCGTTCGGCCCGGGCAGGGTCATCACATAGGGCCTCGGGCGCCTCGGCGATTTCGGCACTGTAATGCGTACCGAATTCCATTAAAAAACGGAAGGATCTAGATATGACGAGGGTATGAAGGATTCTCTCTCGGCATAATGTAGAGTTCGAAGCGGAAATAAGGGTTTTTCAGAATAATTTAATGAGCGAAACCTGAAACACTAAGTTAATTTCCCCGCTTCCTGTTCCACCCAGGGTTCGATCATGTGGGCCAGGATTCCCATGACCACCTCCAGGTCGGCCGACCACCTCCAGTTTGGCCGCGAAGCGACGAAAAAATTTTCGATGCTTTTTGCACCTAGGGATCCGCAGGTTAATACCGCCCGCTATTTGAATCGATTAAGCCAACCCCGAGCCAAATTATATGTCTATTTGGCTCAAATTCACCGTTTTTCCTCCCTGAAAATCTATCTAATAAACAATATTTTTGTATAGTAGATCGTTTAAGGAAAATATTTTTGTATTGTACATCAAAATGTCGGCATTAACGATGGTTACAACATATAAAAAATTCAAAACGATTACTTATTATTTTGACAACCTCCAGGCACTTTATATGCTAATTTTGAGCAAAAAAATGAGGTTTTTCGGTTTCGACAAAATCGCCCTATCGAAATTATATTTGTATGGTACGTCAAAATGTCGGCATTCAGAGCCTCTATAACATATCAAAAGTTCCCAACGACATCTTATTATTTTGACAACCTCCAGGCCCTTTTCCCAGTTAACCCAACGCTGGATTTTCCGGACCCCTGAAAAATAGTAAACCTGGAGGTCATATCTAAAATCTTCCTGAGATCGATTTTCCCCAAACTAAAGGCTGCCATCCATAGCCAAGGATACGATCTTATTTGGGTGAAATTTTTAACCGGATCGGTTCAGTAGTTTTCGAGAAATCCCACTTCGAAAAAAAAAGTTATGGGAAAACGCATGGGAGGCCATTTTAAAGAAACGCTTTTTACTCAAAAACTTTATATTAGCGTTCCAAATCTTTTTGACTCCTCTTATCTCCTAGGTTCTTCCGCATCCATTGCCATCTTGCGTTTTTCCTTGCCGCGTCTATCAACCGAGATAACCTCATGGGAAGCATGGGTTTTTAATGGGAAAATCTACCTTGTTGCCAAAATAGCTATTTCCACCCGGTGTTTGACCCCATTCCGCATTTTAAACTTTACAGAGGTCTTTCTGATCCATTCTCTAGCGATTCCGAACGATATTTTTCAAAAAGCAAAAAATTTGTCGCGGCGGGGATTCGAACCAAGGACCCTTGACTCCTCAGTTTCTACTTACGCTCCGGACGCATTCTCATTTTAAACCTTCCAGATGGCTTCCCGATGGATTCTCCCGTAATTCCGTTCTATATTTTCCAAAAAGCAAAAAAAAGTTGCGGCGGGGATTCGAACCCGGGATCCCTGACTCGTTGCCTTTTTCAATGATTTCCTACGGCAGACTCGATTATTTTTTTTAGGCTTTTTTTGACCACCTCCAGGCTGGTTGACCACCTCCGGGCGGTCGACCAAATTTTTTCCCATGCTAATCGAACCCTGGTTCCACCCACCCCTATCTCACACCCAGCGCCAGCTAGCACATTTTCCGCTCAAAAAATTAGTCGCACCGAACGAGCCGCGACAAGCAGACGCCTCGCTAGAAATTCCCGGGCTGTCCGGGGTAATATTTCACGACATATCGGAAGACGGGCACAGCGACAGACTGGGAGACGCAGGCGGGCTATCAAATTAGGCTCGATGCAATTTGTGGGTGGTGCAAATTTGGCGATAGTATCGATACGATAGCTGCTAAAAGCTTGTGGTAAGCGGGGGTTGAAAATGCTAGGCTTGCCCCTACCCTGAACCCACCGGTCTTTTTGACTCTAAGAAATCTCCAAGGCAAGACTCGCTTCCATTCCTTTACTTCCCCAGAACCCTCCAGCCAGCCAGTGTGCGGGCTGGAGGAGGCAAAGGTTGGAAGCAGAGGAAGAAGAAGAAGCTGTTTGCCAAGCATTATATCGAGAGTCGCTGTGTCGGCGTGTCAAGTAGTGGGGCTTCCCGGCGAGGAGAGAGGCCCAGAGATAGAGAGGGAGAGCTTTGCAGCGCCCTGCGACCCAACGCTGAATTTAAGGTAGCGGGAGGTGGGCGTTGAATTTTAAGGGTGACAGTGAAAATTTTGCACTCTTTTATGCAAAAAATTACAGCTGAATGATTTTCTAAAGTTTGTGACTTGTATTAGTAAGTAGCGGAAATTGACGTTTTTTCTAATTACAGTATAACCGCGGGAAATGCTGAATTTTGTGCTCCATTTTCAAAACCAGTCTCGGCTAGACTTACCGTAACCCACCCATCCCTGAAATTTCATGCCCTTTTTTTAAACGCGCCCATTCGCCGGGCGGCTTTTTAGAAAAATTGCCCACGCCGCCCGCCTGAGCACATTGGGCACATTGAGTGCCGATGTTTTGTGAATAATTCTCAACCCGGCGATTACGTGGCCCCCACCGTCCCCGACGGCGGCCCCGTTTTATTCGATCGCCCGGGCTTCCCCCTCTAGGCAATCGATATGAGACCATGCGGGGATCTAGGCGACAAAAAACGGAAGGGGAGGGCGATGTCTGAAAGTGGATCGTACAAGTAATATTTTTGTGGCGTTGGCATTTATGGATGCTGCTGCGCGGATAGAGTTTTACGAGACAGGTTGATTTTCTGGGGTTTTTGCCTAGTAGATGACCTTGAAAAGTAGCAATTTATTTTAATAAGAATTGATAGTTTTCTATTTATGACTTTTCCTGCCTAGAGGTTTTAGTTTATTTTCTTTTTAAACCTTGGTCGTTGATCACGACCTTTTGTTGCCCCTCCATTTTTCTAAGCTTTTAGAATCCATTCAAAGACACCCCCTTTCTGAATCTCGGCGCCATCGAGGGCAATCCCTTTGCATTTTCGATGTGTATATGGGGGACGCTAGGCAAGGGTTGTGAGTGTAGGGGGGAGGCTGACGTCGATCGATGAGGAGAAGGTGGAAAAATAGATTAGGAGAAGGGGTATTTCGGTTTTAAAGGAAGGGGTGAATTTCCTCGGTCGTAGATTTTAGTAGGTATATTTTTATTCAATAGGTTCCAGAATTAGAGCATTTAATTTACCAGAAATCGACAAATATCGATTTGTTAGCCTAAGAAAATCGTATTTTCTGAGTTTTTTAACTGGAGGAGTGCTTTTTTTTCTAGTTTTGGCTTTTGGAGGCGTTTCTGGCGAATCTCAGAATTCTGGCAAAATGCTAGTTTTCTCAAATCTAAAAACCCCAAAATTTCGCCTACTTATGCTAGTTGGTCCCCCTCAGAAAAGCGCCCCATTGCACCTCGCATCGGCAGCCAGCAGCGCCCAGCCAGCCCCATAGCCAGCGTGTCCCCCCCTTCCCTTGCCCCGGTCAGCTGATCGTCCCGTGTTGTGTGCCGTAGCGCCCCTCTTCTCTTCCCCAGTTCCCTGTCCCTTTAGTCGGGCTCTCTCGGCCCTCCGCCGAGTTGGCCTTGCCTTTCGTCACACAACACCTCTCTACTCCCTCTCTCGCTCTCCCTTTTTCTCTCACCCTCCATCCCTTATCCACTCTCTTGCTCTCCCTCTTTCTCTGCCCCTCCACCCGAATCCCGCCCCTAGCCCCACCCGCCCGGGCACAGCTCGTCTTTCCACCCGCATTCTGCATCCCCAGTGTATCATATGCAAATCGACGGTCTACCGTATCCCGTTCTCCCACCAACTCGCAACCGCAGCCGCCCACCGAGCCGGCCGTTAAGCCGATTGTAGCCCAGGCCCCGTTGAAGGATAGGGACCCCAGCAAGAAGAAGAAGGAGAAGAATTCCTTGTGAAGAATAGAACACAACTTACACACGCTCGCAATTTGCATATTCCTCAGCATCCCAGGGCCCGGATCTCAGACACTCAAGCCTTTTGCCTTAATCATTGGTGCGTTTTGAATGGTTTTTTGGAGCTAGATTTACTAGGTAGAAACGTGTCCGCACTTGCTTTAATTTAAATGTAGTTTTTAGTTTAAATTTTGTCGAATCTTTCTTTTACTTCGTTACTTTTCAAAAATTTAGTGAAAATTGTTTTACCTGCTAAATTCGTTAAATCAAGGGCGGAATGTATTTTTGACTTGGCTGACTTTCTCTAAAAATAAACGACCAAAAAACTTCCAAATTTTTCAGACAGGTAGCTGGTCTACTTCTCGATATTGCGGCTGGTCTCCCCTCTTAATTTCCCCGCAAATTCTGTCTACCTCAAAATTCCGATTCATTCCAAATTCCGCGATTTCACTTGACACCCCCTCTACTACTGCCGATTGCTGCCAATCCACTCGCGATAGACAGCAAAGATAGCAAAGGAGAAGCCGAGAATAGAAGCCAAGGAAACCCGTTAGAACTAAACGCTGCCGCGTATGGAATTGGACGACGGCGATCTGGCGATGGAGATGGATTTGGACTCGATTCCGATTCCGCCCACGCCACGAAAAGAAAACAACATCCCGGCGGGGCTGGTCCTCCGCTCCGGCATCGACTCGATTGCGGGGAGATGCACGGCATATGGATTTATCGGTAATTGCAGCCGCTTACGCTATCTAAATAGGATTACGCAAATTAGGGGTCAGGCCAGCGGAACTGATTTTTCGAATTTTTAGTTTTTTTCCGGCAATTATTTTTGCCCCTAAATTATTTTCTACAATACCTCTTTTTCCTAAACCTTCTTTGCCTGAAAATTTTGGCTTAACAGCTGAAGGCTCTCCTTAGAAGCCGAATCTCCAGGTTTTTCTGACTGTGTTTTTCCATACCTTTACGGGCATCCCGTCCTGATTAGATAAGGCCGGCCGAAGTTTGGTCTGCCGACAAAAATGGGGTACTCAAATTAAGAGAATTTTAGTAGGGATTAGTGATTCTAGGGATTGTTTTTTGTAATAATGCTTTTCCATAATTTCTAGTTTTTCCAAATTGCGCCATTAAATGCGTACCTTTTCGATTTTTGACTCCACTTTGCACCTAATTACACCCTTTCCAAATCCGGACATACCCATTTTTGTAAACAAAAACACCTCAAAAACGACCCTGCCAAGCACGAGGGGACGCTAGCCCGAGATCGGACTAGGGGGGGCGCGTGACGTGCCGACTCGCACCCCGTGCCGACAGACGAACAAACACGTGCCACAACTGGCCGACAGACAGACAGACAGACAACCCTTTTTCGGCCCTCGGCTTTCCCCGGGTATTTTGAGGTCCGCACCCACCCCAGAAGGAGAAAATGGGACCCTCTCCCCGGATGCCCTAGTACCTCCTCACCGCCGTGTCGCTTTTGCCCTCCACCCTCCTAGAAATTGTGTGTGTGCATGTTTGTGCGTCGTCGGCCGTAGTGGGGGAATGTCTCGTGCTAGTCCGCTCTACCCCCAAACGGCCCCCCAACAACAAACATGTGAGGAGGCATAGGAAGGGGGCGCGCCCTTGAATTTGCGCCCCATCCTCCCCGGGCGAGGGTGGCGGAAGAAGCGGAAAGAAAATAAAGGTTGGAGAAGCCCCGCCGCGCGAAAAGAAGAAGCTTTTATGCAACTTTTCGCGGGCCGATTGGTGGCCTGGGCCGGAGGTGTGGACCGGAATAAATTTGGGAATTAGGTGGGACGAATTGTAATAATTACATGAGTAATTGTGGGTTTATTAAGAGAGCGGGAGTTATTTTAGTTTTGAGCTTGCTAAAAAATTTCCTCAGCCCTAGAAACCCATGATTTTTCGTACTGTATCGCATTTTCGATCTATTTCCGGCACCCCGCGCGCGCGTGAATATGACAAATGAGCCATCAGGGCCGAGCTGAAGACTTTCTCATGCTCGCCCTGCCTCATGCTCTTGATGTCTGTCACGAGTTATTCCCTTCCCCCGGCCCTTTCGCAATGTGCAGTTGTTTTTTGGGGGTGGCCGCCCTGCCGCCAGCCTGGCTGGCCAGTAGGAGACGAATGGTCGGGCGAGAACCCGGGCACACTTGGGCATTTTTTGTCATTTGCCTAGGGAGAGTGAGAGAGTGAGTGCGAGGGGGAGAGAGCGAGAGAGAGAGAGCGTCGGAAAAAGAGTAATAGATAATAGAAGTTCCAGTAATGTGCCCGGGAGTTGATCCCAATCTATTAGGTGTTTTATGGAAAGCGGACGCAGGCAGGCTGTAGGGGAGAACCGGTTGATTTGACAACTGATCTTGTAGGTGAAAAAAATAGAAGAAGATAGCGTAGGTTTTTGGCCGGGCATCTGAAGCTAAAAATATGTTCCTATTTTGTCCTGAGGTCGCGATTTTTTCGATTTAAGAGAATCCGGATTCTTAAAGTAATTCCAGGCACCTTTTTGCTAATTCACCTCTTAAAAATCCCATTCCCTCGCCGCAACCCAGCCACAAAACCCCCCAACGGCTACTGCCAGCGGACTAGCTCGGGGTCCGGAACATTCATCGCATTCTCTCCCTCTCCCCCTTCAGCCCACGACGGCCGAGGAGAAAGCCCTTGTTCATCTTCTTTTTCTCTCACTTCCTCAATCTCTCGTCGACCTCTCTCTTTTCTCCGGATCCCCTAGAGGGCTATGAGACGCCGGGGAGAGGGCAGTAAGGAGGGGCCGGCTTTTCCTATCTCCTTCTGCTCGGGGTGGTGGTGGCTATCCCCGTGGAATATCGGAGGGTCGAGGGGGTAGTGAGGGACCGGGGGAGAATTCCCTAATTGTACTTGGGTCGGAATTACTGGGACGTTGAGGTCGAGTTGAATTTTAGAGGGACGTAGATGTCGCCTGGTCGCGGAAATTTGTATTTTGACGGAAAATCAGGCTATAGCTAAAATAGCGAATATAAATAACGTAATCAGTTGCGGAAAAAAGGAATTTCGAGCTTGGCTTGATATGGCGTAAGCGGTTCACCCTATTCTCCCTCAAAACGTCGATATTCGCTATTTTGCGTAGCTTAGAAAGAGTTAGAATACATGACGTGATCAGATAAACCTATTTTCGTTAGATGTAGATATTCTGTATTTTGCGCAGTTTTGAGAATCGCTGTGGGAGGATACATGGCATAATCGGATATACCGATATTTGCTTTAGCGTACCGTTTTCTCTACTTTAAGCCAATTTGAACATTTCTGATTATAATACATTACGTAATCGGATAAATCGCAATACTCGACATAGCGCGACAGTAATTCCGAATTCACCCAATTTTCACATTCCCCATGATCGATTCCCACCCCCAACAAGTCCGCAATAAATCTCGTGCTACCCGATAGTCAAGGCGAAAGTCACAGAGCAGCCGCATTTTCGCCCTTTTCTCCCCATCCTCCCTCTCTTTCACCCGCCGGGTGTCCGTACTACCCCGGAGCGCATAAATAGGTATTGTTCGCTGGGTGCACCGCCCCTCTCCCCCCTACCCCTTCCCCCCTTCCACAATTTAACGTCACGTGTGCAAAGGGCGCGGCGAGTTGGTGGTGCTAGTCGATAGGGGCGGAGGAGCCGAAGAGGGGCAGGCATCGGCACAGCATTTGGCAGTACAATTAGGGCTGGGCCGACTGGCTGGCTGGATGGGGTGATGATGGCGATTACCATAAAATATGGAATACGGTATTGGGGGAGGTCGTAAAACTCGATAGGTATGAGATTTGGCGATGACCGTTCGGGTTTTGAAACTGGGTGGGATGAGAATTTTGTAAAATGCATATTTTCCGTTCCATGCAAAGGAATTTTGAGAAATCTGATTTCAAGAGTTGATTACAGTTTTAAAGGGATGTGTAGTAGATACTCTTAATGGTTGTAGTATATACGCTTAATGGTGCCTGCGGCACCATTATCTGCCCCGACCCCCAAGCGGGTCACCCCCTCGATTCCCGAAATCAGTCAGTCTACCCCAGACCCTTTCCCCCCCTGACCCCTTCCCTGTCCCTCTTTAAGCTAAGCTAACTCGAAGCCCCACGCGGGAGACCGGAGGCCCTCTCGGGCCGACGGGATTCCGTCCCCTTTTGGATGCTTTATAAATTCTAAGAATCATATTTGTTAGGGTCTGTATCCGCGCCGGCCGACTTCCTTTCTCGGCCTCTATCCCGTCCCCAGTTTTTATATGACAGTTTAAGTTACTCTAATAAACCCCTCAAAACAAGTCCGTGGGTAACAAATACACTTTATACATTAAGACCTTCTCATGAGTTTCCCCCTAGTCAAAAGAGTGTCAACGTCACAAATCCATAGCATTAATCATAGTTCGTATCTGGGACATTTCACAGAACAACCTATGGCGCGGAGCCAGTTAAGTTAGGATTAGGGTTCCTAACTAGAAGAGTAGTAACAGCCCCAACATGGGAAGATCGTAACTGGTGAGGTATATTTGGCATAGAGCCCAGATCCACTCAGTTATGACAGATGTAAAGGGTATGACTAGCAATTTTGTGATAGATTCACGACGGGTAAACGCCAAAATCCCGATAGCCTAAATCCCAAAGGCCAAACTCCTGCAAGCCAAAAACCCGACAGCTAGATAGCCCAGATTTTAAAATCATTATGCGTAAAACGATATCACATTTTGGCTGTCGGGATGTTGGCCTGCCGGGATTTTCGATGCCCGATTATGGCTAGAATTCCTTGCTGGACCCTTTAATCGCCCTCCCATCATTGAACCCCAATTCTGACGGCAAAACCGCGCATAAGGTCACATGTTCGCTTTGCATCCCCTGCTCACCTCCTCGCACTCCCTTTGCGTGGGCAGCAGCTGAGCCCGGGCGCTGGCTGGAACTCGTTTTTATGTCTTCCCGGCCGATCTCCACACAACCTGAGCAGGCGCGGGGATCGTTTTCAGATTTTCACATGGTGGGCTGCTCCCTGGTCGGGCCAGAGAAGCAAGCAAACTATGCGTTGAATAGGGGCGGGTGGGTAGGCTGGGGTCTCCCGGAAAACGAGTTCCTTCAAGGTTTCGGGTGAAAAGAACCTGGCGGGCCGAAGTGCAATAAGGTACTGTGGACTGCGTTAGAATTTTATGTTAGGCGAAGAATTTGAAGGTTGTAGCGGAAGTTATACTTTGTAGCGATCGTATAAACACCTCATTTTTATTGACATCTTTCTACAGCTGTTTCGATTTGCAAATCCTCCTGCAATAATGCCCCTAAATTGCTCAATTTTTGCAACTTGCCCGGGGCGCTTGCGGGATTTGATGTAATGGAGGGCTCTGGGTCGTTTGGGGGGTATTACGATAGAGGCTCCAGATTTTAGGAGTTACCTAGAAACTCGGAATAACGATAGCTAGAAAGCCCAAAAACTAAATAAACCTGAAAAACGGCTAGATGAGGTCTGACGTAGATTTAGAAATTTGCTTACTTGATTCTTTATCTAAAGTATCATATTTGTCCTAGCACTCTGCCGGCTAGCCCGACCAGACAGCTCCCGAGAGATGTCTAGACGGATCAGTTTTCCGACCCATTTTAAAGGGCTGCCAACGGCATGTGTCGATCCCCCCCATCAACAAATTGGCAAGTAGCCAACAGGGCAGAGAGCGCGCCCCGGGGAGAGGTGCAGAGACATTTTCTTTCCAGCGCGTAACCGATTGACTATGCCGTCGGCATCCCTTTAAGGAGACTGGAAAGTAGCGAAAGGCGACCACCACACTCATTTCACGTCACATACACATTACGACGGGTTAGTGGATCGCGGGCCTCGCCCTCCTTCCCCCACCGCTGCTGCTCCATCTCATTTTTACAGCCCTCTCACTTGCCGCACACAGCGAAAGCGATCGACTCTTGAGAGCCCTGCCCTGCCACATTATTAATGAGCGCTCCGATTTTGACTCGGGGGGTGGGCGTGGAACGGGCTTGTTACGGTGGAAAAGATGGACGAGGTGTGAAAAACTGAAATTCGGAGTTGAAGGGTGATTTTTACTATACGGCCGTAAAAGATGATTTTGAGATGAAAATCTTTTAAAAATTCCGCGTCAACCTTTAAACCTTCAGACCTCACAGCTTGCCGCGTAGGGCCAGTTTTTATGCTCAAAATTCGGCCCATCTTCCCCACCTAATATTGACAGGCGCTATGGAAATCGAGGCGCGGCGCTTCCCGACCCGGCCGAGCTGCAAAAAAGGTCCGACAGCCGCCCACACGCACACACGCAATAGGCAAAAAGTGCGGCTCCCCACGAAGCCAGGGCTAGATCACTTCCCGATTAGGGTACCGAGGCATTTGTCTAGAGGCGGATAGTTTGGAAACCTTGAGAAACCGGGGGATGCGCTTGAAAATGATATTTTTAACCTACTGTATACCCTGATATTTTTTGGTAATGGTATTTCAGTTGAAAACAGCGTTTGGAAGTTCACTAACACCGTTGAAATGCTCTTCTAGGTGTAATTTAGAGTACTTTAAACCCTAAAAACCTCCCTGCGCTAGTAGTCTAGCCTTTTTCAGGCTCATCTGCCCGAAATTTGAATTCAAAACCCTCTACAAAACACATTAGTACTCAGATCAAAAACCGCTAATACCCCCGAGGCTACCCACAAATAGCTTCCGGGCAAAATCCGCCTAGATAAGCCTGAAAAATCGGCCGGCATCTGCCCACGAGTGCCCGGATCGGCGAAAAGAACGCGGCGGGGGGTGAGAGCGCAGAGAGGCGCAGCCCACGCTGCGTCTCTGACCCCCCATCTCGGCTCTCCCCCCATGGCCAGGCTAAATTTCCGGGAGGCCCCCACCAACACCGCTCCCGCAATCGATGCCCCTTATTAACGCGTATCAAAAATCATAACTCGACGATACCTCTAGTCACCCTACCACTAGTCGTGCTTTTTTATATGCCACGATGGCTTACTATTTCACCAGCCACTACACGATCAAGGTGATCCCGGCGCCAGGTTTGTAAAGCTTGAACTTTAAGCTACGAGGTTTCCTGAAATTTCGATACTTTTTCGGGTAGTATATAGCGCATATCTATCTCTCACATACCCGCATCCCTCCCCTCATGCCAAAAGTTATTCATCCGTAACAGAACCCAATTATAGGGGGCGAGCCTGCCACGCCGCGAGCGCGAGTCGATTTGCTTGATGGGTGGTCAAGGACTTTTTGTCATTGACCCGAGCCTAGCCCCTACTAGGTCTATTGGTCTCTAATTTTACACCCCGAAAATTACGTGAATACATAGAATACTGTTTGGAAAGAGATTTCCGGGAAATACGGAGACAAAACCTGGAATTAGTTAAGTAGGGGGAACGCAGGATTTTCGGTGTCTGCAGGCTGCAGCGATAATACCTAAGGATTAAGCTTAAAATAGATTAGCTACAGGATTTAGGATATTGAAAAATATGTTGGGAACTTATCTGGATTGTTCGTAATTTGACTCGTCGCGTAGTTGGGCCTTATTTCAACTTTAGATTTGATAGCTTTTTACGATTATTTTCCTGACACTTTTTATGGTTTCGAAATCCCACCAACGACCTGATATCGTTTGCCCTTGCAGCGTTTCCTGTTTTTCACGAGTTCCCCTCTCCCCCCACCCCTCCACCCACCCCGCCACCACCTGATTCGGTTGAAAGTAGGGAAGAAATTGGGAAATGACGCCCGGGCGGCGTGAGTCAGCTGAGCAACCTTTTGCCTGAAAAGGTTTTCCGGCGCTCTCCGGGTTTTGAAGTTTTCAAAATAGGGGAAAGCTTTTTGGAGCTCAAAATCGACGCTGTATGCCAGGAAAGGGCTATAAAGGTTGCTAAACTTGTGAAAATTAGGGTTTTTTAAGAATTCTTAAATGAAGAAAAGTTCGAACGCGAAATTTTTGTGTTTTTCTTGGCATCGAGTTTCCCTCGCTAGTAGAACCTCTTAAATAACCCGTGAAGAAATTACTTGTTTACCACCCGGGGGCACATGGGCACTGCTGCCTAGCGTGATAGGGATTTTTTTTAGCCGGAGACACCAGGCGAGTATGGCAAAATACTGTTATTCACAACAAACTTTCGAATATTTTTGGCATGGGGTGTGTGGACCGGCCCAAAAATACGACCCGATCCAAACTACGCGCCCAGAGAAGTACTGATTTTTGCTACCTAACTAATTTATGTTTATTTTCTATGGCCACAATTTGGCTATGCCGATTTTTCGAAGAGAAATGTGAGCTTGACCTGTGGTCGTTTTTTCTAAAAATTGCGATTTGACTACCGTACCCACAACCCTCATCTTGCCACTAAACAGCCCATTATCGCCCTCCTCCCCCGAGGCGGCCACCCCGCCATTCACCGCCCGAGACGCTATAGAATTTGCGTGAATTTGCCGGGGGATGGGAGTGGTGTCCCCCAGTTTGTGTCTGTCTGTTTGTTTGTTTGTCCCTATGTCTATCTTCTATCTGTCTGTCTGCCTTGCTGCTGCTGCCGGCGGGGTTGTGTATCGATCCTGACCACGGCCGGGGGGACCCGGACACGCATAAGCATACACAAACTCGGCACACTAAAAAGCAGACCACCGGAGAAATGGCTGGAAATTTGGGGTTGGGCAGAAAATAAAGGGCGGAAATGCCGAGATTTTTCAGGGTGATAAAGCGTCTAAAAATTTTAGAAAATTAAAAACGAGCTGATCCCGATCGAAAAATTAAAATACTCGTAATTTGGTGTAGATTTTGTGTTTTTAAATTTACTAAAAAGAATCATGACCCTGAAAAATAAAGATACATATTTTAAAAAGAAAATAATCATTTTATCTCTTTTTTTCCAGGCCAACCAGACCCCGGACTTCTCGAGAACCTCCAATCGTCCGACCTATGGCGCAAACGAGAGGCCGTCCAGACCATCTCCAACCTGATCCTCATCTCCGACGAGGGCGCCAACCTGAACGTGTCGTTCCGCGACATTGTCGCAGCCATCAAGGACTTGTTGCAGAATGAGGACTTCAACACGGTTAGTCAGCTGGAAAAATTTTTTCAAAATCACTAACGGCGTGTAAAAATCGGAATTTTGGAGTATCCGCAACTTGTGTAATTTGCTGTTTCGCTGAAGTCGTTGAACTTTGAGGTTAATTAAATCTTTTGTAGTTAAATTAGCCCTTTAAAATAGCATTTTGGACTTGTGGTTGATTTTATGTATTTCCTAGCAGCTGTCTTGCAAGCTTTGAACGTGAACTTTCCACGCCTTTCCCCTACTCCCCAACTTTTTTTGGTCACAACGCATTTTTCTTGCCGACTCCGGCCGCGCTCTATTTGCGCTACGGGCCCAGGGTTCCACCGGGCGCCGCGTCGATGCGATGTGTGTGGCCCGGAAAAAGGGGAAGGGCGAATACGGGCCTAGGCGCTGGATAGAGTATATTTTAAAGGGGTAGCAATATTAAAACTGACTGCTAAAACGTGGATTTCAACTAAAATGAAATAGATTTATTTTTCTCGTTTCAGAAAAGCGACGGTGTCACCTGCCTCCAAAATCTGGTCGACGTCTTCTCACGCTCGCACAGCGTCGCCGCAGATGCCATCCCATTGCTGATCACGTTGATGCAAGACGTCAGGGAGGAGTATGGCGTTGACATCCACGAGACGGCGCTCAAGCCGCTGCTGATCCTCAGCCGAAAATATGGGCGGAATATCTTGCAAGCGGTGCGTTTTTCTGAACTTCTATGTAGAAGACTAGCATCAATCATATAAAGACTTCCAAATTATTTTTAGGGTGGTCTTTCTGGAGTACTGCGTCATCTGTACTTCTTCAACCAGCACGCCCAGCGCTCAGCGATTGAAGTGGTCGCCAACGCCGCCTCGTACGTCACCCCGGCCAACCTCGACCAGGTCACCGAGGCGTTCAGAGAAATTTGCGATAACTTGAATAGTGAGTTTTTAACTTCCTTGAAGCTATGACCTTCTGGACCCCGAAAAACCTTTTTTTCCAGACACCGACAGCAAGATGGGCGACGCCGCCTGCGCGGCCTTCTCCCGCATCGTGTGCAACCTGTACGAGGAGGAAACCTTCGTCAACGACGTCCTCGACCAGAAGTACGATCTGGCGTGCAAGATTGTCAACGTGCTCCGCGAGGTCACCACCAAGTTCTCGGCCACCACGGAGCTGCTCATTGCCGTCCGGTTGTTGATGGGATGCAGCAGTGATTTTGCGCTGAAGCTTCACCACGTCGGCGCCACGAGCACGATCGCCAATTTGCTGTCGCCACTTTCGTCGAAGAGGGCCATCAACAGCTTCATAGACCTGCGGGAGCTGATCTACATGTGTGGAGAATTGGCGCCTGCGCTTCCGGATACCAGCATCTTCATCATCGACAAGCACATCGTCAATCAGAGTACGTCTACTTTTAAAACCTATTAATTCAAATTTTTTTTAGCTGGCACTCATCGCCGACAGCACCAACCTGCTTGGCCGAGCACGTCCAGCGAGGAGCGCCCATTCGACCAGATTTGCTCCCTGCTGACAGCTCCCCTCGTTTCTGTCGCTGCCAGCGTCACCGATCCGGTAGGTAACTTGAACGTCTTGAATTCGTCTGCAATCTCCGTGTTTTTTCACCTTAAACTGTTCTTTTGCAGGTCGTCCACTTTGGTGTCATCCGCGTGCTCGTCCGCCTCCTTCTCCCCTGTCGCCACGTGGACCTGTTCGAGCTGTTGGAGGAATCGGAGTATGCCAACCCGGTGATGCTCGTCTCGCTGATGAAAGACGCGCTGGCTTACACGCCGCAGCGTGCCCACCTCGCCGTCGCCACGGTGCAGCTGATCAGAACCATGCTCGAGGTATAAAAAAGTTTTAATGTGATTTTATTCTCTTTCCTTGCAGAAAGACTCGTCGAAGAACTCGTCGTGCAACTTCCGCGATCACGGCATCTGGGAGTCGGTCGAGCGCTTGGTGGAGACGTTGGGAGATGGCAAACACAAGGTAATTTTTGGTAAAATAAACTGTCTCTCTCGCTCTCTCTCCTAAGATTCCTTGCTTTTTATACCTGACCAGGGTTGAAAAACCGCTTCGCGGCTTTTCAACCCTGGCCCCGTCTAGGATTTATGAAAATTTGCATAATTCTTGCCGAAAAACGATGACCAAAAAATGAAAACCACGCCCTCCCTTCCTTTTTATAAGCCATTTCCACTTCCGGCGTATGCTAATTTTTCCCTAACAAAGAGGGAAGCCAAGATTTTTACTAAAACCTAATTTTAATAGCGAAAATAGCAATTTTTCAAAGATTTTATGTGTGTGCAGTCGATTCCAGTCCCTTCTTTACCCTATGACGTTTCTTCCCTACCGAAAAAATGCTTCCTTGAACCTGTAGGTGCGGAACATCCAAACGGAAGTGCATGCAAATATACACACACACACACACACACACACACAAACACTATCTACTATATATAAATTTCTAATGTCCGTCTGCCCGTCCGACCGACCGACCGGGAATTCAGCCAAATTTAGCATTCAAATTCCATATTCAAATTGTGGGGGTGGGAGAAGGCCAGCGCTGAACCCCCGCGTAGCGGGGGGTCAGCGCTGGTTTTTTTATATATAGTAGGATTTTTAGAAGGCCGGCCCGGTCACCCGAACTCGCAGCAAGGCCCAACAGATTGTCGACGCGCTGCCGATCGTCAGCCGCAAGCGCACCAGCCCGGCGGGGTATGTTTTAGCCTGTTTTTATTTGAATTTTTCTTTTAAAGCCATTTAGAACCCGTTGCCTACTCTTGAAAACGTAGAATTTTGTGCTCAGTACCCTCTGCTAGATGTTGTTTTGTGAAGTTTTCGATATTGGCTTGAAATGTGAATTTCGGAGATTTTGGGGACGAATTTGTAAAACTGCTTGAAAATTTGAGGCCGTAAAATTTATACGAACATTTGTAAATAGCTTGAAATTCGGACAAAACGCGATCGAGGGACCTAGCCGTTGTCCCGTGCATGTGCTCCCTCTTACAGTAGTGACGTGCCGACGACGTCGCACGCCTCCGACCACCACCACTATCCCTCGTCCATCCTACCGGCCGTCCCGCTCACCCCATTCCGTGACGACGGGTACGCCGCTTTCTGGTTGCCGTTTGCGTGTGTGTGGTTGTTTGGGACCCTTGTGTTTTTGTAGTGTACCCCTTTAAAGGGATGGTGTGACGAAGTTTTTTTTTATTTGAAAAAGGGTTTTTTTTATACATTTTAAAAATTATTTCCTCTTCTTTTACGCTTCAATTTGAACCTCTGAACAGCTTGAACAGGTTTTCTTTTCCGCCTTTCACTCACAAAAACATCTTTTCGTTTTTTCAAATCCTGTCCACCCCTGGCCGTTGGTGGCAGCGCGTGTTTTTTTTTTGAGGCCCGATATGGAAATAAAATCTCAATTTAGATCCCCGTCAACCAAACGCGAACGGGACAGCTGCGGCAGCTCGCGCTCGACCGCCCATGCCTCGGCCGGCCCCAAGAAGAGCCCGCTGCAGTTGCTCAGCATCAGCCGCCACGGATCGGCCAGCACGTCGAGCATGGATTCGGGATCATCACCGGATTCGTTGGTGCGTTTTTGGGAATATTTATGATTTTTTATCGAATTTTGAGGGTTTTAATGTCTTATGTTTCAGACGCGGCAGCTGAACGAGCAAGAGCACACGGAGATCAACGCCTGGCTAATCCAGGAGTGCTCGCACGCCCTGCGGCTTCGCCCTGACGTCGCCCCGGTGCATGAGCAGCTTCAGAAGCTCGTGTCCTCGATTCGGGATCGCAAGGATGACCTCATCCCCAGCACGTTCTTTAAGGTAATTTTGTGATTTCCTTATCTCTCTCTCGCTTTCTCTTTCTGTATTCACGATTTATTATATACCAACAATCTCCAGGACCTCCTCCACCTGGCCCAACAGAACTTGACGCCGAATCAGTTGCTGCACAGCGGCCTCGCCGAAGAGATCCTGAAGTGGATGGCCGACGGCAGCGCGATGCACGTCGTCCCGCTGATCATCGCCTCGTTGCAGAAGATTGACAGCGCAGACCGGCAACAGCACCTCAACCAGCTGATCCGCATCGTCGCCGGCGCGGTCGACTTGTGCGAGGCGTTCCCGGTGTCGATTTTCGATCTGACCTCGCACGCGTCGACCAATTTGTTCCATGGAGCCCAGGCTTTGCGATATTTCCGGAATCATGTCGTTACGGTGGGTTTTTCGCGACTATAAAGAATGGATTTTGCTGTTTTTATCATCACTTTTTTGACCTAAATTTTTGTTTCAGATCACTGTCTCGAGACATCCAAAAGTCGACTCCAGCGACCCGCCCCAAAGCAACACCTTCAAGACGGACGCCCTGGTGACGATGAAGTACATCTACTCGGTGGTCAAGAACCGCTTGCCGATTCGCCAGTCGAGCAGTTCGGAAGAGGAGGAGGATTCTCAGGTATTTGACGTTTTTGCGCTTTCTGTTATCTTTTTTTTTGAATTTGCTAAATCCTAAAACCCAATTTTAGAACGGCATCTACCAATCGATGGACATCGAGCTGCTGACCTCCAATGGCACCGTCATCGGCCAAGAACAAGTACTGCTCGAAGTTCTACTCGCCAACTCGCCCGACGACATTGGCCGCATCCTCGGCACGGCCCACAACTTCCACTACCGGCCGAAGAAGAGCGGCAACCCGGTGCGGCACGTCGACCACAAGATGTCGCTGGAGCAGCGCATCCGCGAGGAGCTGTCCCACGCCCCCGACGAGCACACCACCCTGCCGACGGCCAGCGGAGTCACGCTTGTTGCTGGTGGGTTTTTTGGTGACGATTTTTGACCTCTGAACGCCTTGGTGACGCTGAAAACTTAACTCCCTTTTTTTAGAATTCCTGGAGGGCAAGCGCGTTTTCGAGAAGAACATGATGAAGCGCATCGATCGGATCTCACAATCGACAGCACACACAAATCCGGATGAGCCTTCGCAATTCGTGCCCGCTCTCGGCATGTTGACGCTGCTCCATTACATCGATCAGTACGTTTTTGAGACTTTTAGGTCTTTAATTTTGATCAAAATTATCTTTTAAAATTCGAATAAAAATTTTCTAAGTTTTGAAAATAATTTTTTCATTTTGATATTTTTATAGAATTATAACTACTTTTTTCAGGTACTGGTCCGTCGACGGATGCCAAGGCTACTGGCCGGAACGCCCATTTCCGATCGCCTCCAAAGAGGCCTTCGTCTGCAAAAAGCTCGACGCCAAAGTGAACCGCCAGCTCGCCGACTTCCTCTCCGTCGCCGCCCAAGGCCTCCCCACCTGGATCGAGTGGATCGCCCGGAACGCCCCGTACGCCCTCTCCTTCGAGACGCGCCGCTCCTTCTTCCATCTCACCGCTTTCGGCAGGGAACGCGCCCTCGGCCACTGGCTCCAACAGCGCGACATCCCCACCGAGGACGCCAACTTCATGCGCGTCAAGAAGGTCTCCATCGAGGTCGTCCGCGACAACTTCATCACGTTCGCCTACGCGGCACTCCAGGATACACCTACGGGCAGCACGATGGAGGTCAAATTCCGAGGTGAGGCCGGCACTGGCCATGGCCCGACCCAGGAGTTCTACTCAATCCTGTCGAAGGAGTTCAAGAAGGCGTCGCTGGATTTGTGGTATCCGGGCAGGATGGAAGTAGATCCGGAGACGAACGAGAAGATGGTCGCCTCCGATCACGGCCTGTTCCCGCTGCCTTGTACGAAGGAGAAGCGCGTGGAGAAGATTCAGCTCTACGAACTGCTCGGTCGTGCCCTCGGCCAATCGCTGCAAGACGGAAAGCGTTTGGACATTGTCTTGTCGCCGATCGTGATGAAGTACCTCATCGGAAAGGCACACCTCATTGGCCCGTGCGATTTGGCGACAGTCGACCCGATCGTCTACAAGTCGATGAAGCAGATCGAGGAGTGCGGCGGAGACGAGCTTGACCTGATCATGGCCGATTATGCTGTGCCGAATGTGGATATCAACATCTCCACCGACTCGAGCCAGCAAACGGTGACGGCCAAGAATCGATGGACGTACTTGGAGGTGAGAACGTTTAAAATTCGCCTTTTTTTATGCCGAAATCCCCAAAATGAAGCTTTTCATCAACTTTTTCAGCGCGTTCGCGAGATCATGCTCCTCACCGTCCGCGAGCCCCTCGAAGCCATCGCCCATGGGCTGAACGCTGTGCTTCCGCGCGAGAATCTGGAGTGCTTCCTGCCCGACGAGTTCGAGGCGTTGTTCTGCGGGGCCGACGGAGCCGATCCCGAGTACTGGCAGCCGAACCGGATCATCGACGCGCTCAAGTTCGATCTGGGGTGAGTTTTTGTGATGTTTAAAAGGCTAATTTATGCAAATCTCAAAATTTATTGCAATATATTCCCATTTTAGTTACTCCCGCGAGAGCCTGGCCGTCAAGAACTTTGTCCAAATGCTCGTCGAGTTCACACCCGCCAAGCGGCAGCGCTTCCTGCAGTTTGTCACCGGATCACCGCGCCTTCCGCACGGCGGATTTGCAGCGCTGAGCCCACCGCTTACGGTATGTATTCGGTCCATTATTTTTTATTTCCAATTTTTTTCAGGTTGTCTGCAAGAGCCCGGCGTTCGGCGGCCCGGATGGCGAATTCCCGTCGGCCGTCACGTGCAAGAACTACGTCAAGCTGCCCAATTACACCAGCTATGAGGTTAGAGCTTTGAAAAAAACAGTGTTTAAAAATCCCGTACTTTTAGAAAATGGGCTAGGCACCTTTTAGAAAAGGTAGTTTTGTGGAAATCCGGCACCGAAATTTTATTATTGCTGCGAGGTAGCAGAGATCATTTGAGAACGTTGCTTTAGAGTTTTGAGATGGCGATTTTATAGGAGTATCAGATTGAGAGGCAGACTAGCAGGGGTTTTGTGGGGAAATTCTGCTCTAAATGTTGTTTTTGCCTCATGGTGAAATCCGCAAACTTGCGGAGATCATTAGGGAGGATGTATATTTTTCTAACGGCTCGATTTTATTTCTTTCTTTTCCAGGTAATGGTCCGCCAATTCGAGATCGCGCTCACCAACGTCCTGCACTTTGACTACAACTAGTCCAAGCCACCCGCCCGCCATACCTGCACACAAGTTCGGCTCCTTCCGGCCACACTACGGTCCCTTTTCGACTCGCTCCCCTTCTGCATTGATTGTTCCGTCTCGATCCCCATCCATCCCCTACGGGTTCCCCACCCCCTGAATCCGGGTCCCAGCTCACATGGCCTACCAGTTCTTCTTCTTTTCGCCCCCCAATTTCTTGTGGTATGTACACAAATTGCAGCCCAAAAATGCCCCGTGTCACACATAAATCCGCCTTGTACTGCTTGTTGTTGTGCGCTTTCGACGGTCCGTACCGCGGGCTGTCTCGTCTCTCGATTGTAAAGATATGTACTTGTGGATATCTAGGGTCCCCCAACGCCACCGTCGAGTTCAGGTCCTGAATTTAGAACTTTTCTCGTCACTATTTTACGCCCCTCGCCCAGTGTCACTTATCGATTTGTTGTCTCGAGTAGAAATTCGTCCCTTTCTTCCCCCCACTTTCGCGCTCGTCTTTCCCCCGCAACAAGTCGGCTCCAAAAACCCACCCACGCGTCGTCATCGTCTCTAGTAGTGGCTTGTTCTTGATTTCCGGGTTTTCTGGGAGTTTTTAGGCGTTTTTCGAGCTCTAAAATTGTAGAATCCAATTTCTAGGCATCAATTTCACCCTAACTTTCCAAATTCTAGCTTCAAAATCGGTTTAAAAACACAAATTTGAACTTGAATTCCAAAATCCTACCTCAAAAGCTCGAAAATCGTTAAAAATCCACCTAAAAACCTCCGAAATACACCAAAAACGTCAAAGTTCTGTGTTCCACGCCAACCCAAGAATCCAGTCCACCTATTTGCTCGGCTTGTTCATCTACCACGCTTCGCCCCTAGTCGCCAAGAAATTCTAAATTCATGTTGGCTCTCCCCGGAATTCTGCACGATTCTACTGTCCGATACCTTTATCGTAACCGCCGGATTTAGACCCCGTTACTCGCCGCACACTTTGGGTACCGTCCAAAAATGCCTGCTACCGCTTTCCCCCTCGTTGCCTCGTCCCCTCCATTACTTGTTTTACCCCATTTCGATTGATTTACATGATTACACGTGCCGTGTGCATTTCATTACACGCTCTGCGCAAGGAATAAACATGTTTTAAAAGGGCCACGTACCTGGGGCAACACATCGAATGCAGCGCGGGCTGACTTCTTAGATCACAATTTGGATACGACAACATGGATGCTAGCCGAACCTAGGATAGCCTTACTGCAAAGTGTTTGTGTTTGTTTGTTCGAAATTCCATTCCGGACCTAACCTATCTTGCGCGGATTTTCTCTGCTTCCCAATCTGCTTGCAAAATTTGTGGAGGAGCGCAGTTTCAGAAAAATGAAACACGCCCGAAATGAAATCAAAAATGAACGCCGAATTAACAAATTGCAATCCCCCTAAAAATCTTGTAGAAGCCTTTCTGGATCAGCATAAACGATATGCTTGGGTAGAACATCTGCACTTTCAAATGAGCTATCTGACGGACCCGTACCCGAAAATTCATAAAAAAGTGTTTTGCCGCGCCAATCGTTTCTGAAGCAAAATTTCCGGGAAAGCGCTCTAGAACGCAGAAAAATCGGGATGATAGGCTATTGACCACTACTGTACATGAATGTACGAATGTATGGCGTATGAAAAGACGTATGAAACTTCTGTAAATGAAACGAACCATAGCTCCAACCAAAAAATGCCGAGAAAAGCATGGCACAATTATGAAGACAAAATTCGAATAAACCAGAAATGCCAAACTTTCATACAAATCTCTCCACATGATGATAATTGCACCGGAATTCATTTCCCTTTTTCTCGGCTTAGCGGCCATCGTTGGTTGGTTTCTGGATTGATGCTGTTTTTGGGCTAATTAGATATTCAAATTTCTTTTGATTTCGGGGATTATGAATTTTAAAAGTTATTAGACCAAAAAATACGGATAATACCCCCGTGGATAATACGAAAGCACCGAAACCTGTTTTTTAGATGATGCGCCGCCATGGCCGCGGCGGGCCGGCTGCTGAAGCGAAGACTACGGAAATTGCAAGACTTCGAAAAATGATGCTCGGGACGCGCGTGCAATACAGTAGGTTGAATAAAGTTCTGGATTGACAACTGCGAGGCTGGCTTTCTCTTTTCGCTTCTTGAATGCCTCCGAATGAGTACATTCTTCCTTTTTTCTTTACCCTAAAACCTCGTGTATAGGTCCGCCCCGTGTATAGTTCCGGGTGAAAATTTTCATGTGTACGGAGGGTCCGTAATTCCGTATGACCGTCATTAGGTGTGTTTCGTTTTTCGATTTCTTGCAAATAACGCCGCTCACGAATGGTATTTTTGCAATTTTGATGGAATATTTGTTCGTATTTCGACTATTTCCAACAATTTGAGTGGTTTAATGAAAGAAATTGCTGCATGAGGCCCTGAGAACCGGCTCTTTTGGCTTACATAGCTGTTGGGCCGAATTGTACCCTACGCACATTATTTGGTGTCATTTGTATTGGTACGGAACCAAATTGTACCGGACCTATACATGCGGTTTTAGTGTAATCGCCTTCGATCCAAATAATTTGCTTATAGACGAAAGATGGGCCAAAATCGCTTACATCGGCCTCGTGCAATTCGCTGACGGAGTCTTTGCGGGCCTGGTCTACGACGAGAAGGTCGGGAAGCACTCGGGAGAGGTGCGAGGCGTGCGTTATTTTCGGTGTGCCCCATCGCACGGCGCCTACGTCCCCCTTGACAAGGTAAACTTCACCCACATCGAATTGAGGCGCCCACTTCGTTTAGGTGTTGACCCGACCGACGGATGCCCAGCAAGAACAAGATGCACCGTCACAGCAGCCAGCGGTGCAGGTATAAATCGAATATAAACAATCGTAACCGTAAATATCAATAAGGATAAAAATATATAGGTATTTATTGAATTTAGGGCGTTTTAATGTCTTATTTTCCAGGGGCCCGAACTTCTTCAGCCGGAACCCATTGTGGCTGCCGATGGACCTGCGGTCGACTTTGATGGCCGCGACGTTGCCCCCGTTGATGAACAGATTGAGAAGCCCGTCTCCTCGATTCGGGATCGCAAGGAGGACCTCATCCCCAGCACGTTCTTCAGGTAATTTGTGCTTTTTCTCTCTAGCTTTTCCATGATTTAGTACATACCACTAATTTCCAGGACCTCCTCCAGCTGGCCCAGCACAACTTGACGCGCAACCGGCTGCTGTACAGCGGCCTCCCGAAGAGCTCCTGAAGTGGATGGCCGACGGTGGCGTGATGCACGTCGTCCCGCTGATCACCGACTCGCTGCAGAAGATTGACAGCGCCGACCGGCAACAGCACCTCAACCAGCTGATCCGCATCGTCGCCGGTGCCGCCGACCTGTGCGAGGCGTTCCCGTTGACGGTTTTCGATCAGTTCGATGGAGCCCAGGCATTGCGATATTTCCGCAAACACGTCGTTACGGTGGGTTTTTGGAGCATAAAAATGGATTTTGCTATTTTTCTCTTTTTATCCCTATAAGAAATTTTTCCAGATCACCGTGTCGCGCCATCCCAAGGTCGACTCGAGCGACCCACCGCAGAGCAACACTTTCAAGACGGACGCCCTGGTGACGATGAAGTACATCTACTTGGTGGTGAAAACCCGCTTGCCGATTCGCCAATCGAGCAGTTCGGAAGAGGAGGAGGACTCTCAGGTATTTTGCTTTCCTGGATTTTTATTTTTTGTTTTAGTAGCTTTGAAAACGCGCTTTTTAGAACGCCATCTACCAATCGATGGACATCGAGCTGCTGACCTCAAACGGCACCGTCATTGGCCAAAAACAAGTACTGCTCGAAGTTCTACTCGCCAACTCGCCCGACGACATTGGCCGCATCCTCGGCACGGCCCACAACTTTCACTACCGGCCGAAGAAGAGCGGCAACCCGGTGCGGCACGTCGACCACAAGATGTCGCTGGAGCAGCGCATCCGCGAAGAGCTGTCTCATGCACCCGACGAGCACACCACCCTGCCGACGGCCAGCGGAGTCACGCTTGTTGCTGGTGGGTTTTTTGGTGGCAATTTTTGACCTCTGAACTCCTTGGTGACGCTGAAAACTTAACTCCCTTTTTTTAGAATTCCTGGAGGGCAAGCGCGTTTTCGAGAAGAACATGATGAAGCGCATCGATCGGATCTCACAATCGACAGCACACACAAATCCGGATGAGCCTTCGCAATTCGTGCCCGCTCTCGGCATGTTGACGCTGCTCCATTACATCGATCAGTACGTTTTTGAGACTTTTAGGTCTTTAATTTTGATCAAAATTATCTTTTAAAATTCGAATAAAAATTTTCTAAGTTTTGAAAATAATTTTTTCATTTTGATATTTTTATAGAATTATAACTACTTTTTTCAGGTACTGGTCCGTCGACGGATGCCAAGGCTACTGGCCGGAACGCCCATTTCCGATCGCCTCGAAAGAGGCCTTCGTCTGCAAAAAGCTCGACGCCAAAGTGAACCGCCAGCTCGCCGACTTCCTCTCCGTCGCCGCCCAAGGCCTCCCCACCTGGATCGAGTGGATCGCCCGGAACGCCCCGTACGCCCTCTCCTTCGAGACGCGCCGCTCCTTCTTCCATCTCACCGCTTTCGGCAGGGAGCGTGCCCTCGGCCACTGGCTCCAACAGCGCGACATACCCACCGGGGTCTCAAGAAGGGAAGGCGCACCTCATCGGCCCATGCGATTTGGCGACGGTCGACCCGATCGTCTACAAGACGATGAAGCAGATCGAGGAGTGCGGCGGAGACGAGCTCGACTTGATCATGGCCGATTATGCCGTGCCGAATGTGGATATCAACATCTCCACCGACTCGCGCCAGCAAACGGTGACGGCCAAGAATCTATGGATGGCCCCCTAGACAAGGTAAACTTCACCCACATCGAATTGAGGTGCCCACTTCGTTTAGGTGTTGACCCGACCGACGGATGCACAGCAACCACAAGAGGCACCGTCACAGCAGCCAGCCGTGCAGGTATAAATCGAAGATAAACAATCTTAGCCGTAAATATAAATAAGGATAAAAATATATAAGTATTTATTGAATTTAGGGCGTTTTAATGTCTTGTTTTCCAGGCGCCCGAACTTCTTCAGCCGGAACACATTGTGGCTGCCGATGAGCCTGAGGTCGACTTCGATGGCCGTGGCGTTGCCCCCGTTGATGAGCCGCTTGAGAAGCTCGTCTCCTCGATTCAAGATTTATGTATCCCATAACAAGACGAAAGAGCATAAATTTTATTGGTTCAGTACACTACGATGCACCGCACGTCCCTTTTTCGGGAAAATTTAATGGTTTATTGAACAAGAAAAAAACTGGTTTCTGCGAATTTCTAGAATTAACTTAACGTAATTAATAGATTTAACTTTGCAATTGTAGAATAAAAATTTCCAAAATGGGGCATGAGATCAACGAGGAAAGCTTCATGGGAAAAACGTTGTCACGGGCACGTTGGGCTTTTTTGGGGGAATCGACACGTTGAGCCGGAAATAACGGTTGTAAAAAGGTTACACCGTAATAAGAATAACATAAAAATCGAAGCAATAAAACGATCACAATTACGGTAAGAATCTATAGCTTTTCGAAAATAGTTGAATTTAATGTTGTGGGGATTTCAGGATCTTTGAGAGACTCTGAATATATTGCTGAGCCATTTGGAGGGTCTCAAATTTGGATAGGCGCCGGCCAGAGTCCATTTCCGGGAGTACGGTACGGAGCTGAAAATGAAGGTTTTTCGGGGGTTACGATATCAAATTTTTACTATATTTTAAAGCGTATTTAAAGGAGTGGCGAAGCAAAACTCCGCTATGTTTGCGCAGGCTGAGCAAGTAATTCAATCTGCGCAAAATAATTCATCAAAAATCTTTCTTTCGGAAATCTGGAGCTTTCTTACCATTTTGGTATCGGTAAGAATCTCAGTAAGAATCGGACGACCTTAGCATTTAGTCAAAAATTTTTCTAAAAGATTTTTGCCTTCCGAGTCTCGTGAAAGCTTTATAAACGTCAGCGTGAGACTTGGCGAGGGCCATATAATAGATTTTTCTATTAAATGCTAGATACCTAGACTGTACGATATGAGGCTCTTAAATGATCTTTTTCGTATTAAAACAGTAGACTCCATTAGAGTAATACTACAGCAAAATCCCATACCTTATCGTAAGCCGTATTCAACATGGACATCCTTCTCCGCTCCCTCTCATTCGCCGCATTCCTCCTTACGCGCAGAAGCTGGGGAGAGGGTGTTTTGTAGCGGCGCGTACGGGTTGCCTGGAATTAGGAAACTTTTGGACCGCTATAGCTCAAAGGGGCTACACAGCGTTCAGAATACTAAGAAAAAGGTTCGTCGGGCGGGAACAGGATGGGAGAGGCGAGAGAGTGGGCGGGGGTGGAGAGCCCAGAGACCCTCTCTGTTCTCTGCGTCTCTGCCGGCGGCCTCCAGCCTCTTTTGGCCGCCGGTCGCCGCCTAAAGCGTGCCCCAACCACCGTTGGCCGCCCCCAGGGTGCCTGCCCTTGTGTCTGCGCTCCGCATGGTGTACCCATGGGGCTCCCCTTTTCTGAACCATGTGGCTACGAAATGCCATAATTGAGTGACGACCCAAAAATCGAAGCCCTGTACGTCGGAGGCCTCTGTACACCTAGGAGCGCGGGAAGCTCGCAAATTTGAAATTGCCTGTTGTCACCTCGAAATCACGTTCTCGGCTGTTTCGGGGCCAAATTTGATGATTAAAACACCAAAACTATTCAAAATTGAGTGAGGATTTCAAAAAACGGGCTCAGAATGCGCGAAATACAGTGTTTTCACAAAGAAACCGGGCGAAAACAGTTTCGCGCAAAAATCGAAAGAGTGAGGGCTCTCGTCCCGCAGCGCCCGCTGGCAATTTGCCAGAAATCAAAGAGCCCTCCCAAAAGGGCTTTGATTTGGCAGTTCGGGAGCCCCTTTAAGAATAGAATTTAAAATTTACGAAATCGTCTGTTTTCAATTAACTGTAGCTGATTGCGGTTTTGACTTACCTTTCTCGGCTCGTCCTGCGGGGAATTTTGGTCTTGGCTTTGCAGCGGCGCCGAGCTGCATGGGGCGTAGCTAAAAATAAAGAAACTTATCGATTATTTCCGTATTGTTTTAGCATTTATTTCTTGCTATAATTAGAACAAAGTTAGCTTGTCACGGCTGGTTTTATTGTTGTCAATTATTGTGGAATTTTAGGTTGATTTTGCTGATCGCAACATTAAAATTAAGCTGTCAAAACTCACTAATTGTTCCCTGAAAACGTGGGACTGGTTATCGGCGTCGGGAACAAGGGACTCTGCTGGGATTGTTGATGATAGTGGGAGTGAAGTGAGGAATTTGCCATCGAGGACGATTGCATAAAGAACGGCCCATGGCACGGGTCCCAGGTGGCCATTTTCTAGAGAAGGTCTGGGTTAGAAAATGTAGAAAATGGGAGAAAACAATTTTAAAAAAAGGGAGCTATGATACGAAGAAAGGCACGATTTTTGGGATGATAAAATGTTGCTACAATATTTCGTTTTTGAAATATGAAAATTAGAGTGGATAGTTCTGGGTTTTCTGCTAAATTCCAATAAATTTCTACTCTTTTTGTTGAAATTTGTTAAAAGGATGAAATAAAAAAAGGAATTGTTTCTGAATTTTCCTAAGAAATTTTTATGTTTAGAGTTTTCAAAGTCTAGTTGAATAGTGAATTTGTTATTTTGGAAAATTTAAGAAACGCACTACATACAAATCCGATTTTGCATGGTCTATAGCCCAAATTCAAGAAATAGCATAGAAAAAGTCAATAGATCAAAATGTGAGCTAGAAAAAGTAATTCAGAACAATGAGCCAAGACAAACACGATCAGAATTTGCGTTTTGCGCTTGCGTATTTGCTATTTTCACACTTTTAATTGAAAAAAACCCCTGGTTTTTGAGCTAAATTCAACCCCCGAGGCTTACAAAAAGCACCCAGTAATGGTATGACCGTTCAAATATTCATTGCCGGGGGGCCCACGAGGGGCCATTAGCGGGTCAAAGCAGATTTTAGGGGGGTCTAGGTAATGACTGTCATGATGGGGGGCGGGAGGAGGGGTATGGGCGGGCATTGGTAATGAGGGAGCGGTGTGGAATGGGTACCGTATTCCGGTGGTTTGAGTTGGCTCCTCCTCCCCGCCAATGGAGGCTGAACCGTTTTTTAAGGAGAGTGAGTGAGAGGGAGAGAGAGATCCCCCTATACGGTATGGTTACTTGTGGCTGGCTGAGGTAGATTCCTATCAGATACCAACTCCATGGCGGGCCTGACCTTATACACGCGACTTTCCTGCGTTTGCGGTCACCTTATAGGGTAAAGTTTTCGGGGCAGATCTTAAAGATAAGGCAGATTACGGTAGTCTTGTCAGTTTTGAGTGGGAAACTTGACGGTATTGCGAGTTTACGATGGGAATCTGCAAAATTTGACTTCCCGACCCCTTTAAAACATCTAAAAATTGTTTTAAATTAAATTTCAATGTAAAATTTTCAGTTTTCATTGTTGATGATAATTCTGAAGTTTTACAGTACCCTGAAAAAGCTTGAGAATACGGTAAATCTCATAGATTTTCGTTTTAAAGGGATTGTGAAATGTATCCTTCCAAAAACCTCTAAACATATGGCCTAAATCATGCTCTTAACGAGATTGGTAGGTAAAATATTGCGGAAAATCTAATATTCGCATTTAAGGTAAGATTACGGTAGTACTATAGAGGTCCTCAAAAACTTTGAGAACTACGGTGGGCTATGGTCGACACAAAAGCAGAGTTTTTAATAGTACAGCTTTGAAAACTTCTCTTATAACGTGGAAATAATAAAATATCAGGTTTTTAGTGCATCATTAAAAATCCATAAATCCTCAAGGCATATTCTTGCCTTCCAAGTCCCTTTAAACCTCTCACGAGCCTCTAATTATCCCCTAATTTCCTTAACCAACCCCCGGTTACGCATTCCCCCGTCTCAATCCCAATAGTCATTTGGAAAGTTGCGTAACGTACGCGTGAGAGACAGCTAGCTAGCCAGGTAGCTAGCTTGTTCTCGCACGGTTGGTGTTGTGCCCCGGGGGTGGTGATTTGGATCTGTGACTGTCTCCAGGGATGTCTGTCTTTCTGTGTGTCTGTGTGTCCATACAATCGTCATGTTGTCACCATACTGTCCGGTTAGATAATGGCCGATGCAATCCATCAACACGGCAGTGTTGCACGCGCAGCTAGCCCCTGCGCGATAATCGGCCATGACCAGATTGGGGCCCTGATAGGGCCGATGGGTTGCCTGGGGCTTTTCGGTTTTTGGAGGGAGTCGAGGTTGTTGAAAAATGGTAATGAATGATACAAAAGCAGTGTGATGAGGACGCGTAGGCCATACCTAAACGTACCACCTACCGACAGAGTTAGAACACCAAGCCAAGGTTCGAAAGGTGATCAAGCTAGGGAAAAGCGAAGTTTTAAAGAGAGCAAAAGGTTTAAGCTCAATTTTTGCATACCTACAGTATTGGGTTTTCCATTAGAATGCCGAAATTCGTCATATCGAAATTTTTCCGGGTGATTTTTCTGAAATGTCAACAGTATGAAGTTTCGACATTTTTGAAAGCCACTCAGGATTCAGATTGAATAATTATGCATTTTATCGCGTTCTAGGACACGATTGAAGATTTTGCCACATTTTTATTTTGGTAAATCTTAACTTTTTGGCTAAAATCGCACAATTTTAACAAAAATCCAGAATTCTGGTGAGGTTTTTAGTAATTGCTATTCTTAGGTATTTTCTTGCATCAAAAATTCTCAAAAAAAATGGCTGGAAAAATTAGCGTAAAAAATTTTATTACCGGAAGGCTTATGTGAAAAAAATTGAAAAGGAAAAAATGAAGTTTCAGTGTTTTATGGGAGAAATGAGGATAATTTGGACTTTTTCGGATTTTGATGCTTTTAAAAGCATAAAAATTATACGAAATCGCACAGTCCAAAAGGCAGAATTAAATTTGGTTAAAAACCGGATTTCGCAGTCATAATCCGTGGAATTGCACTAAAAACGGCCATTCCCAAAAAGTTCACAGCGAGTGCAGACCAGGCAAGTTGTTCTAAAAGTCCGGACGCCCTAAGTCGGTCGGTTCTCAAAGTCCGTATAAACGTTCAGTGGCTTGCTAAAGTGCGCCCTTTCCGCCCGAAAATCCCCGAGAAACAAGGGCAATTTAGGGTGGTAGTGAGCAACAGAGTGACCGGGAGTGCTAGTGCCCTACTAGCCGCGCTTCAGGTTTCCTAAAGTGTGCCCCCAGCCATAAATCGAGTTGTCTCCAGGGGGGCCGGGACGCGTGCCGGCTATCAACGCGCCCAATCTGCGTGGTGAGGAGCACCAGCTCTTTAGCGTCCCCCCCTCCTACCAACTTCAGGTGCCCCGGCTCCTTTACCCTGGCCGCCCTGGGCGACGACAAAAACTAATCGACTCCTCCTTTTTTTGCTATTTGCCGCTCGTGCGCCTCTGGGCGCTACGGTAATTAAGATGCCGGGCGTCCGGTTTTTGAGAACCCGGCGACAAGCTTTGGCCATTAATTTTTTTTGGCCTTTTTTTGCTTTGAAAGCCATGGCAGCGTGGCCTCCAGATTTCTTTGTTTTGAGCGAGTTTTTTCCGTTCTCCCTATTAGGGGGCGTTTTAAAGGGTCTGGAAACAAGCCTGACTTTAAGAGATTTCGGAAGCCAGGAGCTACAGTACCTAGGAAGTAGCGGATGGCAAGAATTTTTTAAAATTCTATAAGCGTGCGGTAGCCTGTTGAGATACTGTAATGGCGGTGTAGTTTACCACCCAATGCCTTTAAACTAGATTCGCCAACTCTTCATAAGGTTTTCTCTCTCCTGTCACTCTATCTCTTTCTCTCCCTCTATCTCCCTCTCTCCCCCTCTCTCTCTCTCTCTCTCTCTCGCACCCTTGTTGGCCCCAACTCCTATTACGGTAGCTTGTCAATAACTAGCGTCAGTCGTCAAACTTGGCTGATTTTTAGCAATTTTCTACGCTTGGGGTACGGTATCTCAGCCCTCGACTCCTCGCGTGTCGCCCGTCTCCTCCAAATCTCCCGTCACCAACAGTCATAAACATATAGCCGTCAATTGAGAAGGCGAGGGGGAGAGAGAGAGAGAGAGGGAGAGAAAGAGACAGCGAGCCAGAAAGAAGGTGAAAATGAGGCGAATCCTCGATTGTCCTCCCCCATGTCGACGTTGTCGACCTTGCCCCGGCCATCTGTGCGCAGATTCGAAACGGGTCCACCTCCCTCCTTCTCACCGGGACCATGCCAGTGGCACACCATTTTTTGCCTCCGTCCCCACGATCGTGCCCACTACTGACGTTTGATAGTATCTAGATCGTTGTGGAAAACCGAAAACACGGCCACTGGCGGGAAAGTGGGGGCCCTGGGGAAGGGAATGATGGAGGAGGGGAGATGAGAGTACGGTAGATCTACCCATAGGTATGGCAAACTTCGGGAGAGCTTCAAAGGACTGTGTGAAAAATGGGCTGAGAGTAGGTTTGGATGCGCCTAATTTTTTGCGAAAAATGCGAGAGAAAGCGAGAGAGAGAAAGCGAGAGCTAATGAGAGAGAGAGAGCTGGGGAGAGCGAGAGAGAGGGAGAAAGAGAGCGAGGTAGAGAGGGAGCGAGGAGGGAGAGAGAGCGAGGGAGAGATAGTTAGAGAGAGCTAGCGAGCGAGAACCAGAGGTAGCTAGATAGTGAGAGAGCGAGAGAGAGAGAGAGATAGTGAGAGAGCGAGAGAGAGAGAGAGAGAGAGAGAGAGAGAGAGAGAGAGAGAGAGAGAGAGAGAGAGAGATAGAGAAAGGGCTGGGGGCGAAAGAGCGGGAGGGAAATGGTAGAAAAGTTGCTTCAAATGCCAATAACTATGTGCCAGTCAGATTATTTTCAGTCAGCCAGTCAATATATTTTCAGATAAGTCATAACAAGCTACAGTAGCCCTTTTCCGAAAGCTCTATTTTGACACTTCAACGCCTCAGACGATTCCGTTTACCATCGGCATGCTTTTATGCCCTCCGGTCATAAGGCAACATTGCCCCTGGCCTCGTCAATTTCCGGATTAACTCCCGGCCCTTCAGAAGCCCATCCACCGCCTCGAGTTGTGCAATCACAACATTCCCCCATTGCCCTCAATTAGCGCCCAATCCGCGCGGCTCCTCTAGACGGTACGGGTGGGCAGGGGGTATCTTGGAATCCCCCGTAATTAGCACCGCTTCACGCTTGACCTGTGACAATATTTTGACCGGATCTGGGGTGCGTAACGGGTTGAAAGGGGGCCGATGGGGTACGGTAGCTAGGCGGATTTAGCCGGAAATTGTTGCCTGTGGCATTTCGGCTCCTTTTTTTTAGCATTGCGGCTTGGGACTTGGAAGTCGATTATTTGGGTATTTTCATAAGAAAATTCTAATTGTCGTAAAAACAACGAAAAATTAATAACATTTAGTTTTGAGACCCAAAGACTGAAATTAAAAGGCCGTCCGCGAGCCACCCGAACAGACCCTAATATGGCTTGGCACAGTTTTTTTCGACATTGTTTTTTGACGGCATCGGAAAGAGCATAGTCGAATTAGTAGAGCTGCATAGTTTTGAAAGTTTAAAAAGTTAATTTTTAGGGTTTAAATTGGAGTCAAAGTTGCCGACCCTCAAAAATTATCTCGAAAGTTACTGAACCAAATTGGTCGAAAATTTGTCACAATACCTAATTTGGGATGCTGATCATTTCTCTAATACATCGAAAAGCACGAAAATGAGCGTAACATGGTTAAATCGCGTAGCCAATACAGTTTTTCAGGGTTTTGTATTTTACGGGTTCTTGGCGGTCCGTTATAAATAACCTTAAAAGATGCACAAAAAAAATTCTACATCGAATGAGGTATTTTATACCGGGCCGACAGAAACCCTACTCTTGCTATAAAGCATTTACTGCGCGCAAAACTGCCCCCAAAAGGGGTCAAAAACCTCAAAAATGACAAATTTGGAAATCGAATATATCAAACCATATCTAGAGAACGAGCTGAGTCCATTGCAAAAAAGAGCAAAACGAAATATTGCTTTTCAAGGGGGCTGGGCTCGAACTCGGACCCTTCGCCTCGAAGCCCTCCCTGGGGCCGTGGTGGATTGCATGAGTGCTCGCCTACCAATCCAAGGGCCGCGCCAGTTCGATCCCCGCGCCCCTTGAAAAGCAATATTTCGTTTTGCTCTTTTTTGCAATGGACTCAGCTCGTTCTCTAGATATGGTTTGATATATTCGATTTCCAAATTTGTCATTTTTGAGGTTTTTGACCCCTTTTGGGGGCAGTTTTGCGCGCAGTAAATGCTTTATAGCAAGAGTAGGGTTTCTGTCGGCCCGGTATAAAATACCTCATTCGATGTAGAATTTTTTTGTGCATCTTTTAAGGTTATTTATAACGGACCGCCAAGAACCCGTAAAATACAAAACCCTGAAAAACTGTATTGGCTACGCGATTTAACCATGTTCCGCTCATTTTCCTGCTTTTCGATGTATTAGAGAAATGATCAGCATCCCAAATTAGGTATTGTGACAAATTTTCGACCAATTTGGTTCAGTAACTTTCGAGATAATTTTTGAGGGTCGGCAACTTTGACTCCAATTTAAACCCTAAAAATTAACTTTTTAAACTTTCAAAACTATGCAGCTCTACTAATTCGACTATGCTCTTTCCGATGCCGTCAAAAAACAGGGTCGGAAAAAACTGTGCCAAGCATTGTTCGGTCCTCTCGCAAACGGCCTTTTAATCCACTGAATTTTCTTGGCTATCCAAAAGAATCCTCTGCTAGCGGATCTGTGGGATAAATTTTCTGTATGAAATCAGCAGTAGAATTTTTTGAAATTTTACGAAAAACCCAGATTCTCAAAGAATCTCTGCAGGTTTGCCTGCTTTCTAAGTATTCAGAGCTCAATTTAGGAAAGGAAGAAACGGGGATTTTTACGCTTCAAACAAAGCACCACCAGCTAGTAGGAGGCATGCTAGAAAGGATTTTTGAGGAACTTTGACGAATTTTGCAATCTTAGTCGACGTTCGTCTTGTCGAAGTCGTGGTCCGCGTTGTAGAAGTCGTCGAAGTCAGTCGACATCAATATTCAAGAAAAACCTTTGTAACACGACTTGAAGACGTTCAAACTTATCTGCAGGTCACATCGGGTCGCCGCGGGGCAATAAGTCAAGACTCCCGGCTGGCCTATCCCCCCATTCGCTATAATGTGCGCACCTGGCTAAATCGGCTGTCCTTTTGGTGACGGGTACATGACCGACCAATGTTGCGTCACGTCCATAGCCCTCCCTGTCTCATAATTGCCAGCGTTCCCGCTTTCGGGGCCCTTTAAAGGGGCCGCCGTCCCGTGCTGCTTCCCGATTTATGGCCATCGCCCCCGAAATTTTGGAAAAAGGGTCCCGACATGGGTATACGTCGCCGGGGATAATTAGTAATTTTGGGGTCAGAATTGGGGGATTTCAGAAGCTTTGTCGGGCCAAAAATCGGGCTGGGGGAGAATTTTTGGCTTCAGCGTTCTTTAAAAAAATCCTGGAAGCTCTGAACTGAACTGAACTTGCGGTGATTTTTGCGAAAGTTTCAGTATTTTGTGTTTTTGATTCCCTTTGACGCAAAATTTTGGCCTATATATTTATTTATGGCCAAAACGTGAATTCCGCCACAAGCCCTTCAAATAATCTGCGGTATATCGGGAATATTGGTAGTGGAAGACGACAAAATCATCGAAGGTGTGATGGTCGAAGCCTTCTTCGTGGAGAAGCTTGATGTTGAGACAAGAAGACATTACGCCCAGATGGATATCGTCTGAAATGGCAATAAAAAGTTGATTTTAAAGGAGGGCAAAAATTGAGAATTGCGAAAGTCAGATGACAGGCTCTTGACAGCCACGTCCGACGACAACTGACGGCTTTTGAGTTTTCCTTTTTCTGCGCTCTGCTCTCGTGACCTCTCTCCCCCTCTCTCTCTTTCTCTCTCTCTTTCTCTCTCTCTTTCTCTCTCTCTCTCTCGCTCTCTCGCTCACTCTCTCTCTCCACTACCTATCACCGTCTCGCTTTCTATTCCTTCTTAAAACTTTTAACAGTTTCAGGCTTCTCTAGAACTCTTGTGTATTTGTCTACACCCGGCCAATCGGAGGGTAGATTTTTTCTTTTGCTGATTTTTGCAGCGACCCTAAAACGTTTCAATTAGTTGTCAGTTTTACTTTCAAGGGGGTTATTTCCTATTTTCACCCCTCAACCTACCCAAATGTATCCACGGAAATCGACAAATATTCGTCAAAATCGACTTAGCAGCCCCGCGGGAGATGATGAAGGAAGAGCCCTAAAAATTATTTGGTTGTTAAATATCACAATTAACGATTACCTGCACAAATCTGGGATAACAAAAGTTTGGATAGACATCCCCGCCGACGTGCCACGTCAACCACGGCATCCACAACCTGGGGTATCCCCGGGATACCTTACCAATCACCCACGGTTGTTCTGGGGATTGGCGGGGGAAGCTAAAAAGTCTAGGTCATTTATAGCGCAACCTAAAATTTTGGAGTTTGGTTTCGGAATGAATCGATGAATTGTCAGGATTACGCTTGCAGACAAAATTAATTCTAGAAAAATATCATCGAGATAACTAGAATGAGAAAAATAATTTGGTCAGCCATCTAACTCGTTAAAACGCTTTAGAAGTATTGAAAAGCATAAAAATATATCGATTTACATACGTGATATGGTCAACGTGAAATTGAACATTGTAAATGTTAAAAATCGAAGCTAAACAAATAATTCATAAAAGCTGATCAGCCTTTACAATAAAAAACATGAAAGTTTCACTATTAGTGTTTTGTATTTTGTGTTTTTTCTTGGACAGAGTTATGCTAATTAGTTTACATGAAACCGAAATCTGGACGAATGATACAAAAACGATGATATTTACCCACCTTTTCAAGTGCCTCCACATTAACAATGGTATCATCATTCAACACGATAATCTCCTCCAAATCGGGTAGTAACCGTAGAAAATATTCATAGGTAGATGTCATCTAAAGATATATACTAACCCTATAAACGCTTCCCATACCTTATAACCGAGCACAAAGTACCCGTCGGTGAACTTGAACTGCAAAATGTCTTGGTACTCCCCGGCTTCTGCGCGCAAGTCCGTCCCATCGCGTAGTCCGACCAAGAAAACGACGGGGATTCCGACAAAGTCCTTTTTCCAGGTGGTCCGGATGAAATTACGGTAGTCTGGGGCGTTAGGGGCCGAGCGGACTACGGCGAGCTAGAAGTGAAAAAGTCATTTTTTGGGCGAGAGAGATTGCGTGAGATCGAGAGCGTGAGAGAGAGAGAGAATGCAAGAAAGAAGAAGATAGAGAGAAAGAGTGAGCGAGAGAGCGAGTCAGAGAGAGAGAGAGAGGGAGAGAGCGAGAGAGATTGAGAGAGAAACGGATAAATTGAATTTCTCACCCTCTTAGGCTTCCCGGCAATCTTTGGTTCGATTACGGTACCTGGGGCGACGTTTAGGCGACAACTTGGATCTGCTTTCCTAATTACAATTATTTGCATGAAAAATTACTTTCCTGACCAACCTGGGATAGTGGTATCGATCGACGCAGTGTTCGAGGCTTTCCAAATGGTGCTTCTCCGATAATAAGTCTGATTGGGTGTAGCAATAGGCTCGAAATGGGAATAACGAGCGCTCGAGGTAGTTGGCCAACTGAAATGAGGGTGGGGGAAGAGCTAGCTTCACTTTTGAAGGTTCTAGAGTAAGAAAAATGTTTCATGGATACTAAAAACATAAAAGAATAAAAATAAGCTAAGAATAAAAAGCATAAAAGTTAAAAAAAACTCGCTAAAACCAGGTTATCAAAGAGGTTTTTGTGACGGTACCCGATTTAACTTACAAATAAGTACGGCACGATCCAGCCCAACAACCCAACCAGCACCGCCTCGGGTTTTAGACCAGTAGCAAGAATCATCGCGAGCGGTCGGGAGGCTGAAGCGCCGATCCGCGTCGATACGTGCCCCAGCCGCGTGGATGTTGCCGACGGGCACAAAAACCGGGGGGAAAGAGGGCGCCAGATAGGGATCTACGCGCCAGACGGTGCTCCTCAATACCAGGATTTAGCCCGGGGTACAGGGGCACGAATATCGGAACGTGTAAATTAGAAACGAAATATAGAATTTTCGCGAGTAGAAACCGCCAGCCTCCAAAACCGCTATAATCAATTTGACTAGGGTAGAAACGGATTTTGAGGTCCGGATTTTGACGATAACTGCCCAAACTGTTTTTTTTAACATTCATAAACGTAAAAACTTTACAAATTTGATTAAAAAAATACAGAAAATAACGATTTTTCCCCGATTTTCGACTAAAACTTCACCTAAAAGGGTTTCTAATTTTTTTATGATTTTCCATAGTAGTTAAATAGTTAAATTTATTATAAACACTATTAAAATGCAGACTATTACGTTACTAAATTTTTCTGGACTCATAGGAAAACGTTGGTCCCCCGATACCGGAAAAGAACCACGAGCTTGAGTGGCAAAAGTTTCAATTTTTACGGCATTTGCATATTTTCATTAATTTGAATGGAACGCTTATCTAAGAATTTTCACTTTGCATCCCGAATTTGTATGGATTCTGGAATTGATTTCAGTTTCAAGTAAAAAATCGGAGCAGCGGTCGACCATGAGGCTGCGAGTGAAGGGCCCACGTCGACCCGCAGGTATACGATCTCTCTCTCTCTCTCTCTCTCTCTCTCTCTCTCTCTAACTATCTTTCTCTCCCTCTCGCTCTGCACCTCATCCTCCCGTTCCTCAATTTTTCAATTATACGAATTTAGAGGACGCTGCGAGCTAAGAGCTCACGTCCTGGGCGACTGCGGCGGGACGGATAAAGCTGCCGCGGAGCCCGGTAGGCGCTTTTTGACGATCTCTTTCTTTCACTCTCTCTGGAGTTCAGCCACATCAAGGGTTAAAGGGACCCGGAAGTCAAAGTTCGGTCGGATGGGAATGATCTACTGGTCAAAAACGAAAAGGTTCCTGGGTGTTTTTCGACCGAAACATACCTGTTGATAATCTATAGTGTAAAAACTCGAATGCATAGCAAAAATATTGACATACTCGGCCCAATAAGAGGACATAGGGTTGTGGAGGTGGGGCTGGGGCTGGGGAGGGGAGGCGTTTTCTAGGCTTTACCCCGGGGTTTTTCCTGGCCGCAACTTTATGGATCTAAAATAAACACTTTTGGATTTTTCGAACATTCTGTTCATTCTGTTCAAACAGCTCTTCTTCTTCAGGGTGAGGGGAGTCAAGTCAACCTTTTCTAAAAATTTTTGTTTAATGGGCTTGGATAAATATCTTTGTTATAGAAGGCAACCTCGGGATGATCAAGTACCTGGGAGAAGTGAACTGGGCGAAGGGCAGCTACGCCGGAGTGCAGTTCCACAAACGCGTCGGCCGCCACGGTGGCGAGGTGAAGGGCGTGAAGTACTTCTCATGCCCTCCTGGGCATGGATTGTACATACCGGTCCAAAAGGTAAACTTATCAAAATGGAAAAAGAGCCAATTTTTTTTTAGCTTGTGGAGCAGCGGGAACCTCAGCTGCAACACCCCGAAGCGCCGGCGCCCTGCCGCCTCCACCGCTTCCGCCGCCTCCACCGCCCCCGCCGCCTCCACCGCCCCCGCCGCCTCCACCGCCCCCGCCGCCTCCACCGCCCCCTTCGCCACCTCCTCCACCTACGGCTCCTCAGCGGCAGCAACAAGTTCCTCAACACGTTGGTCAGCAGGTACGCGTTTGTTAGTAAAAGATGTCGATGCTAAGAAACGTTTTGCTACATGTCTCTTAGCGGGGAGGGGAGTGGGTCAGCGTGCGAACCGGATTTTTCTCAATGGTCGATATGGTGCTATAACGAAATATAGCCCATAAATATCAATTAGGAAAACTACAACGAGATAATAAGTTGCAGTCGCGAAGCGACTGTAACCATCTGGTAGTCATCTGGTCGCAAAATGAAAACGCGGCTAATATTTTTTTTAGTTGGTTGAGCGGCAGCAGCGGGTCCCTGCGAGCCCAGGGCTCACGTCCGGGGCCACCGCGCCTCGATGGATAAAGCCGCCGTGGAGCCCGGTAGGCTCTTTTTGACTATTTCTCTCTCTCTCTCTCTCTCTCTCTCTCTCTCTCTCTAATTCATCCGCTCGAACCTCCTTGATAATGTACAAATTTAGAGGATCCTGCGAGCCAAGCGCTCACGTCCTGGGCCACGGCGGCTGGGCGGATTAAGCAGCCGCGATGCCCGGTAGGCTTTTTAACTCTCTCTCTCTCTCTCTCTCTCTCTCTCTCTCTCAATGGCCCAAAAACAGCTTAGTATTTCCAGCCTGCCCAACCCGTGGAACCACCCGACGCCAACTTCCCACCGCCGCCAAGCGAGCCCCGTCCGGCCAAATCAACCCGCCTCTTAAAGCTTTTTCTTAGAATAAATAAATTTTTATTGTTGCCGCTTTGACACAAATACCTCGAACAATCAAGAACCACTGTAAAATACATCCTACCTTATATAATTTTGGGATGTATGTTTGTTTGTGTGTTTGTCCGGCTGTCACTTTCGAGGCCCGATTTGAGGGCCTCCCGTGTATAAAATGCCATAATTCTGTGTCACGGGGCAATCGAGTCTCCTCTTCCCGCTGGCGTTCTCAGAATTTCGATAAAATACATGTTTACAAAGTTAAAGCCAGTTTTATTCATTTTTGGGGGTCCGGAACAGCTAATTTACATAATGGCAAAAATACAAATTTTCTCATTCTTCCAGTGGCACGCGCGAGTGCGGCCGGGGGAGGGGGCGGTCCGAAGGAACCGAGTTATCGGAAATTTAAATTTATCATGCAAAGAGAGTAATATACATAGTAATTTACTATACGATCGAGTGGTGAACCAGCTTTCTGAGCTTCGAAAAAAAGCTGAAACTGTCCGCGAGATCATGTTTGCCTTATTCTTCGAAACAAACCGTTCTGTTCGACCTTTTGCAAACTCGTGTAAGAAAGAAAACCCGCGACCGCGCGCAAAAATCGAAAGCGCGCGCGGAACTCGATCATTTTGCACCCTGAGCAGGGACGTAGCGTAAGGTGGGCCCCCTGGGCCCGGGGCCCCCGAAATCGGCCGGGGCCCGAAAATTTCATAAGGGGGGACCCTTATGATTTTTATTTTCTCAAAAATTTTTCTGCCTGCGGCGCTATTTGTTCACGTTTTTGCTGCTATTTGTAGAGCTACATAGCCTTTTCTCTAAAATTTTCGCCTGCCGCGCTGTTTTCTAGTTAGTTTTTTGAATTTTTCGAAAAAAATTTTTCGCGGCCCTCCCCGAAATTTTTTTCTGGCTACGCCCCTGACCCTGAGCGCCAATAATTTACATTTGACAATTTCAATGTGAGGTCGACGGGAATTTAGGAATTTTCGCTTTGCATTCAGAATTTGCATGGAGGCTGGAACTGATTTTAATTTTAGGGCAAAAATTGGAGCAGCGGTCGACCATGAGGCTGCGAGTGAAGGGCCCACGTCGACCCGCAGGTAGGCAAGGTGTCGAATTTGGTGTTTGCCAAGCTGTGACGATCAAAAAGGCGATAATATAGCGTTCCGTTGCGCGTTATATTATAGCGCAGGTCTAATAGAGGTCTGCATATTCCAGCGTATTACATCGTACCGCAACACCGCGCTATTGTTATTTTTGTTTCTATTATAATAACTGGTTTTTAGCCGCAACAACAGCAACAAGTACCGACAAGTCAGCTGCCGCCTCCACAACTCCAGCCAGGGCAACAGTCGGGCCAGCAGGGTCAATCCCTCCAGCAGCAGCCCGAGCAACTTCCCTACCAGCCACAGCAGGTCGGTTAGGTATCTTGGAAGGGAGCGAGAGAGAGAGAGAGAGAGAGAGAGAGAGAGATAGTGATAAAGAGAGAGACGCTTAAGCTCAATACAAGCTTGCTATTTCCAGCCTGCTCAGCCCGTGGAACCACCCTACGCGGACTTCCCGCCGCCACCAAGCGAACCGCGTCCAGCCGAGTTCCCGGAGAGCACCTCGAAGAACAAGCCGCCGCCACCCCAGCCCTACTACCCGCAGCAGCAACAGGCTCAACAAGTACAATTTATGAAAAATTTTAAATTTATCAATTCACACGAAATTTATGAGTCCAGTCGAAGGAGAAGGTATCGAAGCCCTATCCCTTCTATCTTACGAAACGCTAAATGCTCATTGTTCCAGAAATTCTAGCTCCTTATTCAGGCCGATGCTGAGACGAGCACGACCGACGATCCAGTCGAAGGTACACATAGGATAACGGGGGGGAAATAACGGGGGCACTCAAACTTTTTATATGATAAAAGTATTTTTAAATATGCTTTTTTCGGGCTGTAAAAAAAACTCTTAGTATATTTTTCGGTCCTCTATCGAATGGCATTTTCAAAATATCGAAAATATTCAAAACGCCGAAAAAATCCCCCCCTGTTATCCTATGTGCTGCCCATAGTTTTCAAAAATAGTTTTTAGGCTATAAAACTTTTATAATACATTTTTTCGCGTTGTAAAAAAATCTCTTAGTATATTTTTTGATGTTCTATCGATTCGCGTTTTCAAAATATCGAAAATTTCAAAAATTTGGCTTTCCCCCCGTTATCCTATGTGCTGCCCATGGATTTTGATCAATTTTTGTTTATTCGATAAAAAATTTTATTTACAATATTTCGCGCTGAAATTAATTTTCCTAGGGCAGTTTTCGACGCTTTATCGAATGACGTTTTCAAAATACCGAAAATTTCGAAAATTTCGAAAATTTGACTTTCCCCTCCCGTTATCCTATGTGCTGCCCATAGATTTTCCTCAATTTTTGTTTATTCAATAAAAAATTTCTATTACATTATTTCGGGCTGAAATTAATTCTCTTAGTATATTTTTTGATGCTCTATCGAATGGCACTCGCAAAATCCCTCAGTAATTGCAAATTTCATAATAATGAGTGCCCCCCCCCGTTATTTTATTCCCCCCCCCGTTATCCTATGTGCTGCCCATGATTTTGATCAATTTTTGTTTATTCGATAAAAAATTTCATTTACATTATTTCGGGCTGAAATTAATTTTCCTAGGGCAGTTTTCGACGCTTTATCGAATGACGTTTTCAAAATACCGAAAATTTCGAAAATTTCGAAAATTTGACTTTCCCCCCGTTATCCTATGTGCTGCCCATAGATTTTCCTCAATTTTTGTTTATTCAATAAAAAATTTCTATTACATTATTTCGGGCTGAAATTAATTCTCTTAGTATATTTTTGATGCTCTATCGAATGGCACTCGCAAAATCCCTCAGTAATTGCAAATTTCATAATAATGAGTGCCCCCCGTTATTTTATTCCCCCCCCCTTACCCTATGTGTACCTCGAAGCCCTATCCCTTCTATCTTACGAAACGCTAAATGCTCATTGTTCCAGAAATTCTAGCTCCTTATTCAGGCCGATGCTGAGACGAGCACGACCGACGATCCAGTCGAAGGTACACATAGGATAACGGGGGAAATAACGGGGGGGCACTCAAACTTTTTATATGATAAAAGTATTTTTAAATATGCTTTTTTCGGGCTGTAAAAAAAACTCTTAGTATATTTTTCGGTCCTCTATCGAATGGCATTTTCAAAATATCGAAAATATTCAAAACGCCGAAAAATTCCCCCCCCCTGTTATCCTATGTGCTGCCCATAGTTTTCAAAAATAGTTTTTAGGCTATAAAACTTTTATAATACATTTTTTCGCGTTGTAAAAAAATCTCTTAGTATATTTTTTGATGTTCTATCGATTCGCGTTTTCAAAATATCGAAAATCTCAAAAATTTGGCTTTCCCCCCCCGTTATCCTATGTGCTGCCCATGGATTTTGATCAATTTTTGTTTATTCGATAAAAAATTTTATTTACAATATTTCGCGCTGAAATTAATTTTCCTAGGGCAGTTTTCGACGCTTTATCGAATGACGTTTTCAAAATACCGAAAATTTCGAAAATTTCGAAAATTTGACTTTCCCCTCCCGTTATCCTATGTGCTGCCCATAGATTTTCCTCAATTTTTGTTTATTCAATAAAAAATTTCTATTACATTATTTCGGGCTGAAATTAATTCTCTTAGTATATTTTTCGATGCTCTATCGAATGGCACTCGCAAAATCCCTCAGTAATTGCAAATTTCATAATAATGAGTGCCCCCCGTTATTTTATTCCCCCTTACCCTATGTGTACCTCGAAGCCCTATCCCTTCTATCTTACGAAACGCTAAATGCTCATTGTTCCAGAAATTCTAGCTCCTTATTCAGGCCGATGCTGAGACGAGCACGACCGACATCGACTCGTCGTTGCCGCAGCACGAAGTTGCGCCGGGATGGACCGCCACCTACACACCTCAGCTGGTGGTCGAGGTCCCGAAAGTCGCCTCCAATCCGACGTTGCCGCTCAACGAGATGGTGCCCGGATTGGTACGAAAATTTCGCTCTTTTGCTTCAAATTTGTTTTGCAACTTTCATCTTCGTTCGAAATATAGTAACTCGAAATCGATACTAACGGTAAAAAAGTAAAAAATGCCGTAACGTTTAATCGCATCCTTTTTAGAAAAGCAGCAAAAAGGCGCCCCTGCGATCCGACGATAAGACGATGACCATCAGAGTGTTCGTCATCGCAGAACAGGGCAACCCGGTAGGGAAGACTCTTCAGCGTGAAATTCATCTTCTTCAGGAGTGGCCGCAGGAAGTGTGCCGCGGAATTGAGCGGCTGATTGAAGCCAAGCCCGTCTTCCTCGAGCAGAACGAGATCGAGGACGGCAACAATGGGACTGCCGTTATGATGGTCGTGCAGGTGCCGTGGACCAGTGGAGTGTAGGTTTCAAAAAGACCCCTAGGAACCGACGGCAATATGGAGGGAGCATGCTTTTTTTCACAAAAATTTCTGACTGCGGCGCTTTCGCCCCAAGCTTTGCCAAGACTTAAACATTTTTTCGATCCACCCAAAAAAATGAGGTTCGGCCAGGCAAATAATAGCAAAAACCCTTTTTTAATATTGTCCCGTTTCAGCAGCTTGGCTGAGACGCACGGAATGTTGTGCGCGCTCAAAAGCGAGGTGGGCGGACCGCTGGTGCTGCGCTGCACAGTTGATGGGTACACCACCGCCGCCGAGAAGAACGACGAGAAACAACGGCTCTTTGTAAGTTTTCGCGTAGCATCTGGTCAGGGGGGTGATAGTTGGTCAAAACGCATGAAAAATGACCGCAAAAAAAAAATTTCAAAAATTGGGATTTGAAAACCGAAAAAAAGACCCCTAGGAACCGACGGCAATATGGAGGGAGCATGTATTTTTCATTAAAATTTCTGACTGCGGCGCTTTCGCCCCAAGCTTCGCCAAGAGTTAAACATTTTTCGATCCGTCCAAAAACTGGGGTTCGGCTAGGCAAGAGGGCGTGGGGGAGAGAAGGCGAGCTTAGGTTCAGACTCGGGCTTGGGCTTCGCCTTCGCTCGCGCTCTCTCTCTCTCTCTCTCTCTCTCTCTCTCTCTCTCTCCCTTTCTCATTCTCTGTCACGCCCTCTGCTCGCGTCTCTATTTTCATTAACTCTTTGTTTTAGCGGCCCCTGCGAGCCGAGTGCCCACGTCCTGGGCCGTTGAGGATGAAACAGCAGCCTGGCCGAGACGCACGGCAAGCTCTGCGCACTCAAGAGCGAGGTGGACGGGCCCCTGGTGCTTCGAAGCACGGTCGTTGGCTAGACGACGGCCAGGGAGAAGGCGGACTAGGATCAACTGCGCTTTGTAAGTTTTCGCGTAGCATCTTGTCAGGGGGGTGATAGTTGGTCAAAACGCATGAAAAATGACCGCAAAAAAATCGAAAAATTGGGATTTGAAAACCGAAAACAATGAAAATTCGAATAAATTCTCAACGGAAGCAACAAAATCTCTCATATCTCTACTCTTTTTTTAATTCAGCCGGATTTAGTGGGACCTGTGGAAAATGTGGCACCCGCCCCTGCTAACAGCCCAGTACCATAGCGTGCCATTCGTTTTATTTTTTAATTGTGTTGGATTTAGTGCGCCTTATGTGGATGCCGGCCGCCGATCGCCAAGGATTTGCGCAGGGCAGGCGACTACTCATACTGCAAGCATTGCAGGGATTTTCTGTAAGTTTTCGAACCGGCATACGTATCTATATAAATATGCGGTTCAGGCATCCCAAACACCAGCTGAAGACTTGCATCGGCTCATACGTGTGTCAGGAGCTCCATCGCCTCACAGCTCTCGGAATTGCAACAACGCTGATTGACCGTAGGTTTCCATAGAGATGACCACATTTTTTTTAGGCGGTTGCCATTGGTGCGTTCGCCAGAAGGGGACGGCCATGGGATACTATCAAGAGGTGTTTATGTCTTTTTTGTCAAATCCCAAACTCCGACTTTTACCCAAAAATTTCACGACGAAGCTTGTTTGCAGACGGTCGAGCCGGTGGTGGTCGCCAGCGCTAGCGGATCGCCGGAGGCTGGGCAAGCGAGCAACAACGCCGGCGCCAACATTGTCGCCACAACCAGCAATAGGTGGGAGAGTTTGAGTTGTGAACGCATCGCTGCTAGCTTACCAGTCGAACAGCCTACTACGTGCAATTCTTTCCAGCCCCCTGCCCGTCTTCCGCCCAGACGAGCCGTCGACCAGCGGCTTTTTTTGATGCGACGAGCATGATGATGAAGCAACAATTAAAAAACCCGATAATGGAGCCCTTTCTGTTTGTAAGCATGCTCGTGCACAATGCGAATAAATCATTAACCTCTTTGTACAGAACACAGTCGAATTCCTGAAAAGAAGCAAAACACGAACAGAAAATTTGGTATCGGGCACATACATATGCTTGCAAGATCTTGCAGGTTTTTAAAGCTTATCTCGTGAAATTCACTGCATTTACGCTTGCGTTTCACACCGTTCCGAAACCCTCCGCCGCCACATGCTCCAGTACAATAGGCTACCCATCATTACTTCTAAAATCGTTACTTCTAAAATTTGGTATGCTGCATATTTATGCCCAAAAATACGCTTAGAATTTTAGAAGTAATGATTTTAGAAGTAATGATTTTGATTTGATTGATTGATAGCTCCAAAATTTCTGTGGCTTCGCTTTGCTAACTCGAAAATTTCTGCCCCATATGGGGCAGCAAGAACGAAGCCGACTTCAAATGGCTTCGCTTTGTTAGCTCCAAAATTTCTGCCCCATATGGGGCAGCAAGAACGAAGCCGACTTCAAATGGCTTCGCTTTGTTAGCTCCAAAATTTCTGCCCCATATGGGGCAGCAAGAACGAAGCCGACTTCAAATGGCTTCGCTTTGCTAGCTCCAAAATTTCTGTGGCTTCGCTTTGCTAACTCGAAAATTTCTGCCCCATATGGGGCAGCAAGAACGAAGCCGACTTCAAATGGCTTCGCTTTGCTAGCTCCAAAATTTCTGTGGCTTCGCTTTGCTAACTCGAAAATTTCTGCCCCATATGGGGCAGCAAGAACGAAGCCGACTTCAAATGGCTTCGCTTTGCTAGCTCCAAAATTTCGTGGCTTCGCTTTGCTAACTCGAAAATTTCTGCCCCATATGGGGCAGCAAGAACGAAGCCGACTTCAAATGGCTTCGCTTTGCTAGCTCCAAAATTTCTGTGGCTTCGCTTTGCTAACTCGAAAATTTCTGCCCCATATGGGGCAGCAAGAACGAAGCCGACTTCAAATGGCTTCGCTTTGCTAACTCGAAAATTTCTGCCCCATATGGGGCAGCAAGAACGAAGCCGACTTCAAATGGCTTCGCTTTGCTAGCTCCAAAATTTCTGTGGCTTCGCTTTGCTAACTCGAAAATTTCTGCCCCATATGGGGCAGCAAGAACGAAGCCGACTTCAAATGGCTTCGCTTTGCTAACTCGAAAATTTCTGCCCCATATGGGGCAGCAAGAACGAAGCCGACTTCAAATGGCTTCGCTTTGCTAACTCGAAAATTTCTGCCCCATATGGGGCAGCAAGAACGAAGCCGACTTCAAATGGCTTCGCCTTGCTAGCTCCAAAATTTCTGCCCCATATGGGGCAGCAAGAACGAAGCCGACTTCAAATGGCTTCGCTTTGCTAGCTCCAAAATTTCTGTGGCTTCGCTTTGCTAACTCGAAAATTTCTGCCCCATATGGGGCAGCAAGAACGAAGCCGACTTCAAATGGCTTCGCTTTGCTAACTCGAAAATTTCTGCCCCATATGGGGCAGCAAGAACGAAGCCGACTTCAAATGGCTTCGCTTTGCTAGCTCCAAAATTTCTGTGGCTTCGCTTTGCTAACTCGAAAATTTCTGCCCCATATGGGGCAGCAAGAACGAAGCCGACTTCAAATGGCTTCGCTTTGCTAGCTCCAAAATTTCTGTGGCTTCGCTTTGCTAACTCGAAAATTTCTGCCCCATATGGGGCAGCAAGAACGAAGCCGACTTCAAATGGCTTCGCTTTGCTAGCTCCAAAATTTCTGCCCCATATGGGGCAGCAAGAACGAAGCCGACTTCAAATGGCTTCGCTTTGCTAGCTCCAAAATTTCTGCCCCATATGGGGCAGCAGCAAATCGACTTCAAGTGGCTTCGCTTTGCTAACTCGAAAATTTCTGCCCCATATGGGGCAGCAAGAACGAAGCCGACTTCAAATGGCTTCGCTTTGCTAGCTCCAAAATTTCTGTGGCTTCGCTTTTGCTAACTCGAAAATTTCTGCCCCATATGGGGCAGCAAGAACGAAGCCGACTTCAAATGGCTTCGCTTTGCTAGCTCCAAAATTTCTGCCCCATATGGGGCAGCAAGAACGAAGCCGACTTCAAATGGCTTCGCTTTGCTAGCTCCAAAATTTCTGCCCCATATGGGGCAGCAAGAACGAAGCCGACTTCAAATGGCTTCGCTTTGCTAGCTCCAAAATTTCTGCCCCATATGGGGCAGCAAGAACGAAGCCGACTTCAAATGGCTTCGCTTTGCTAGCTCCAAAATTTCTGCCCCATATGGGGCAGCAAGAACGAAGCCGACTTCAAATGGCTTCGCTTTGCTAGCTCCAAAATTTCTGCCCCATATGGGGCAGCAAGAACGAAGCCGACTTCAAATGGCTTCGCTTTGCTAGCTCCAAAATTTCTGTGGCTTCGCTTTGCTAACTCGAAAATTTCTGCCCCATATGGGGCAGCAAGAACGAAGCCGACTTCAAATGGCTTCGCTTTGCTAGCTCCAAAATTTCTGCCCCATATGGGGCAGCAAGAACGAAGCCGACTTCAAATGGCTTCGCTTTGCTAGCTCCAAAATTTCGTGGCTTCGCTTTGCTAACTCGAAAATTTCTGCCCCATATGGGGCAGCAAGAACGAAGCCGACTTCAAATGGCTTCGCTTTGCTAGCTCCAAAATTTCTGCCCCATATGGGGCAGCAAGAACGAAGCCGACTTCAAATGGCTTCGCTTTGCTAGCTCCAAAATTTCGTGGCTTCGCTTTGCTAACTCGAAAATTTCTGCCCCATATGGGGCAGCAAGAACGAAGCCGACTTCAAATGGCTTCGCTTTGCTAGCTCCAAAATTTCTGCCCCATATGGGGCAGCAAGAACGAAGCCGACTTCAAATGGCTTCGCTTTGCTAGCTCCAAAATTTCTGCCCCATATGGGGCAGCAAGAACGAAGCCGACTTCAAATGGCTTCGCTTTGCTAGCTCCAAAATTTCTGCCCCATATGGGGCAGCAAGAACGAAGCCGACTTCAAATGGCTTCGCTTTGCTAGCTCCAAAATTTCTGCCCCATATGGGGCAGCAAGAACGAAGCCGACTTCAAATGGCTTCGCTTTGCTAGCTCCAAAATTTCTGCCCCATATGGGGCAGCAAGAACGAAGCCGACTTCAAATGGCTTCGCTTTGCTACCAACTTCTGGCTCGCTTTTAGCTCAAAATTTCTGCCCCATATGGGGCAGCAAGAACGAAGCCGACTTCAAATGGCTTCGCTTTGCTAGCTCCAAAATTTCTGCCCCATATGGGGCAGCAAGAACGAAGCCGACTTCAAATGGCTTCGCTTTGCTAGCTCCAAAATTTCTGCCCCATATGGGGCAGCAAGAACGAAGCCGACTTCAAATGGCTTCGCTTTGCTAGCTCCAAAATTTCTGCCCCATATGGGGCAGCAAGAACGAAGCCGACTTCAAATGGCTTCGCTTTGCTAGCTCCAAAATTTCTGCCCCATATGGGGCAGCAAGAACGAAGCCGACTTCAAATGGCTTCGCTTTGCTAGCTCCAAAATTTCTGCCCCATATGGGGCAGCAAGAACGAAGCCGACTTCAAATGGCTTCGCTTTGCTAGCTCCAAAATTTCTGCCCCATATGGGGCAGCAAGAACGAAGCCGACTTCAAATGGCTTCGCTTTGCTAGCTCCAAAATTTCTGCCCCATATGGGGCAGCAAGAACGAAGCCGACTTCAAATGGCTTCGCTTTGCTAGCTCCAAAATTTCTGTGGCTTCGCTTTGCTAACTCGAAAATTTCTGCCCCATATGGGGCAGCAAGAACGAAGCCGACTTCAAATGGCTTCGCTTTGCTAGCTCCAAAATTTCTGCCGGGGTGGCTTGCTTTGCTAACTCGAAAATTTCTGCCCCATATGGGGCAGCAAGAACGAAGCCGACTTCAAATGGCTTCGCTTTGCTAGCTCCAAAATTTCTGCCCCATATGGGGCAGCAAGAACGAAGCCGACTTCAAATGGCTTCGCTTTGCTAGCTCCAAAATTTCTGTGGCTTCGCTTTGCTAACTCGAAAATTTCTGCCCCATATGGGGCAGCAAGAACGAAGCCGACTTCAAATGGCTTCGCTTTGCTAGCTCCAAAATTTCTGCCCCATATGGGGCAGCAAGAACGAAGCCGACTTCAAATGGCTTCGCTTTGCTAGCTCCAAAATTTCTGCCCCATATGGGGCAGCAAGAACGAAGCCGACTTCAAATGGCTTCGCTTTGCTAGCTCCAAAATTTCGCCCCGGGGGGGGGGTGGCTTCGCTTTGCTAACTCGAAAATTTCTGCCCCATATGGGGCAGCAAGAACGAAGCCGACTTCAAATGGCTTCGCTTGCTAGCTCCAAAATTTCGTGGCTTCGCTTTGCTAACTCGAAAATTTCTGCCCCATATGGGGCAGCAAGAACGAAGCCGACTTCAAATGGCTTCGCTTGCTAGCCCAAATTTCTGTGGCTTCGCTTTGCTAACTCGAAAATTTCTGCCCCATATGGGGCAGCAAGAACGAAGCCGACTTCAAATGGCTTCGCTTTGCTAACTCGAAAATTTCTGCCCCATATGGGGCAGCAAGAACGAAGCCGACTTCAAATGGCTTCGCTTTGCTAGCTCCAAAATTTCGTGGCTTCGCTTTGCTAACTCGAAAATTTCTGCCCCATATGGGGCAGCAAGAACGAAGCCGACTTCAAATGGCTTCGCTTTGCTAGCTCCAAAATTTCGTGGTTCGCTTTGCTAACTCGAAAATTTCTGCCCCATATGGGGCAGCAAGAACGAAGCCGACTTCAAATGGCTTCGCTTTGCTAGCTCCAAAATTTCTGTGGCTTCGCTTTGCTAACTCGAAAATTTCTGCCCCATATGGGGCAGCAAGAACGAAGCCGACTTCAAATGGCTTCGCTTTGCTAACTCGAAAATTTCTGCCCCATATGGGGCAGCAAGAACGAAGCCGACTTCAAATGGCTTCGCTT